AGATGCCTGATTTCCGTGCCCAGGCGCTGAGTCACAGCTCAGAGATGACCCCAAACCAATCACTCCTCCCTGCCCTGAGCTGGTGAAAAACTGGCATTTACTGTCCACTGCAAAATCCCTTCTCCAGGGAAAAAAAAAAGAAAAAAAACACAAAAAAACCCTTAAAATCCTGTACAAACCTGGAAGGTTTTTTCTTTTTGAAAGTCCCACACAGCAGCCTCAGATCTTTTTTCAGCACAGGTTACCTGCAGAACCAGTGAGGGTGAGGATAAGTTTTTTAATCCTTGATAAATGGATTTTACTTTCAGTAAAGTGGTGTAAAGTTGCTTCTCTTTCAAGTTCATCACAATTTCTTTAATTCCCAGCTCATTCCACATCAGCTTTCACCTCAGGGATAACTGGTACAATTAACCAGAAAGCCAAGATCCTTTTCCAGACAGGTGTGGAGGTGGCACTTGGGGACACGGTGTGGGGGTGGCCTTGATGGTCTGAAGGTCTTTGCCAGCCTTAACTCCAGAATTTCATATTTTGGAGCTCCCACAGAGGAGGAGCTGATTTTTGTCTCAAAGAAGGATTTCCTGGAAGCCTCCTGGCTTGGGATGTGCCACCATGAGCTGCTTAATTTAAAATTTATAGCAATTTTGTAAAATTTATAGCAAATTTTGTCTCAGAGAAGGATTTCCTGGAAGCCTCCTGGCTTGGGATGTGCCACCATGAGCAGCTGTGACTTACGGAGGTGACAGATCCAGTGCCACCCTGCCCAGTGTGTGACAGATCCAGTGCCACCCTGCCCAGTGTGTGACAGATCCAGTGCCACCACTGCTCTCCTGGGAGCAGCCTCTCTGCAAAAGTGAGGTGGGGAAAAGCAGGACAAGCTTTGCAAATCCTGGGCACAAAACGAGTTCAGCTGTAATTAATTCACTCTGTGCCCAGAGTGGGGTCCTGGAGCATCCCTGACCCTGCCTTTCCCTGTCACCTCGGGGGGAAAGAGCCACCAGAGCGCCCTGAGCCGGCTCGGCTGAGCCCGGGTCCATCAACCCAGCCCTACTAAACCCGGGTCCATCAACCCAGCCCTACTAAACCCGGGTCCATCACCCCAGCCCTGCTGAACCCAGGTCCATCACCCCGGGATTGCTGAGCCTGGATCCATCAACCCAGCCCTGCTAAACCCGGGTCCATCAACCCAGCCCTGCTAAACCCGGGTCCATCAACCCGGGATTGCTAAACCCGGGTCCATCAACCCAGCCCTGCTAAACCCGGGTCCATCACCCCAGCCCTGCTGAACCCGGGTCCATCACCCCGGCATTGCTAAACCCGGATCCATCAACCCAGCCCTACTAAACCCGGGTCCATCAACCCAGCTCTGCTAAACCCGGGTCCATCCCCCCGAGCCGGCTCAGCTGAGCCCGGGGAGAGCAGGACCTGCCCCGGTCCATCCCAGCAGGAGCCGATGTTCCCTAAGCTCGCTCTGGGTGTCCGGGCGCTCGTTGTCCCCGTGTCACGGCCGCAGCTCGGTTTAATTAAGCCTCGGTTTAATTAGCGGCGGCTGCAGCGCCAGGGAGCGAGGGTAGGTGGCACCAGCGGCCGCGCCCGGAGCAGCGCCGGCCCTCGGGAATTCGGGATCCAGCGAGAGAAGAGCAGGAGCTGGAGCAGAGCAGGGCAGAGGATAGGGCTGGGGCAGGGCAGGATCAGGGGCAGGGCAGGGACAGGGGATGGGGCAGGGCAGGGACAGGGGATGGGGCAGGGCAGGGCAGGAGCTGGGGCAGGGGACGGGGCTGGGGCAGGGCAGGAGCTGGGGCAGGGCCGGAGAGCAGGGCAGGGACTGGGGCAGGGCAGGAGCAGGGCAGGGCAGGGGCAGGGCAGGGGCAGGGGCAGGGCAGGGACTGGGACAGGGCAGGGACTGAGGCAGGGCAGGGGATGGGGCTGGGGCAGGGCAGGGCAGGAGCTGGGGCCGGGCAGGGACTGGGGCAGGGCAGGGACTGGGGCAGGGCAGGAGCTGGGGCCGGGCAGGGCAGGGCAGGAGCAGGAGCAGGGCAGGGGATGGGGCAGGGACTGGGGCAGGGCAGGGCAGGGGATGGGGCAGGGCAGGGGATGGGGCAGGGACTGGGGCAGGGCAGGAGCTGGGGCAGGCCAGGAGAGCAGGGCAGGGACTGGGGCAGGGGCAGGGCAGGGCTCTCCCTCGAGAGGGGAATAAACCCCGGCACAGCCCCAGGGAACGGGCAGAGCCCCGGGGCTGCCGGAGCTCCAGGAGCGTTTGGACAGCGCTCCCAGGGCGGGATTTGGGGTGTCTGGGTCCTTTCCCACTCAGGATACCCCAAAGCCCTGGCAGATCCCTCAGGCACCCCCAGGGATGCTCTGCCCTCGGTGCCCCATGGGGCATTTTCCTCCTAAACCCCGCTCTGGGCACAAAGGAGCTCAGGAACAAACACCGGGACGCTGTCACTGCTGTCACTGCTGTCACTGCTGCCCGGGTGAGCAGGGGTGGCAGTGCCCTGTGACAGGGCAGGGTGGCTCTGGTCTGTCACAGCCCAGCAGAGATGGCACCGGATCTGTCACACAGAGCAGGGTGGCACCGGATCTGTCACACAGAGCAGGGTGGCACTGGACCTGTCACACACTGGGCAGGGTGGCACTGGATCTGTCACACAGAGCAGGGTGACACTGGACCTGTCACACAGAGCAGGGTGGCACTGGACCTGTCACACAGAGCAGGGTGGCATTGGATCTGTCACACAGAGCAGGGTGACACTGGACCTGTCACACAGAGCAGGGTGGCACTGGATCTGTCACACAGAGCAGGATGGCACTGGACCTGTCACACAGAGCAGGGTGGCATTGGATCTGTCACACAGAGCAGGATGGCACCGGATCTGTCACACAGAGCAGGGTGGCACTGGATCTGTCACAGCCCAGCAGAGATGGCACTGGACCTGTCACACAGAGCAGGGTGACACTGGACCTGTCACACAGAGCAGGGTGGCATTGGATCTGTCACACAGAGCAGGGTGACACTGGACCTGTCACACAGAGCAGGGTGGCACTGGATCTGTCACACAGAGCAGGGTGACACTGGATCTGCCACCTCTGTAAATCACAGCACGGGGTGGCAGTGGCAGCTCGTGGTGGCACATCCCAAGCCAGGAGGCTTCCAGGAAATCCTTCTCTGAGACACAAATCTCCTCCTCCTCCTTGGGAGCGCCAAATGTAAAATTTTGGAGTTAAGGTTGGCAAAGACCTTCAGACCATCAAGTCCAAGTGTGGCCTCGGCACTGCCAAGGCCACCCCACACCGTGTCCCCAAGTGCCACATCCACACTTTTTGAACCCCTCCAGGGATGGTGATTGCACCCTTCCCGTGCCTGACATTTTCCATGAAGGATTTTGTCCCAGTTTCCAACCTAAACCTCCCCTGGCACAACCTGAGGCTGTAGGAAAGGATCAGGAAAGGATCTTCCCTTCAGCTGGGGATGGGATGGGATGGGATGGGATGGGATGGGATGGGATGGGATGGGATGGGATGGGATGGGATGGGATGGGATGGGATGGGATGGGATGTGATCCATGGGATGGAATCCATGAGATGGGATGGGATCCATGGGATGGGATGTGATCCATGGGACCCATAAGATGGGATGGGATCCATGGGATGGAATCCATGGGACGGGATGAGATGGGATCCATTGGACCCATGAGATGGGATGGGATAGGATGGGATGGGATGGGATTCACGGGATGGGATGGGATGAGATGGGATCCATGGGATGGGATGTGATCCATGGAACCCATTAAGATGGGATGGGATCCATGGGACCCATGAGATGGGATGGGATCCATGGGATGGGATGGGACCCATGGGATGGGATCCATGGGATGGAATCCATGGGATGGGATCCATGGGATGGGATGGGATCCATGGGATGGGATGGGATTCAATTTATCCAATTTCTGCATTTTGCACCACACCTGCTGCAGAAATCCCTGTGGGTTCTGCTGTCTCAACCCAAACCCAGCAGCTCCTCCTGGGAGAGGTCAGATCTCCTCCCCAGGATCTGCATTATTTATCAGCAACAGTTCAGCAGCTATTTTTTCCCAGGCTCCAGTTAAGCACTATTTTAACAGCTCTCCAGCATGAAAAGATTCCAGTTTGGTGGCAATTCAGCTCCAAGTTTTTATATTTAATTTCCTCACCCAGCAAGAGGCTGCCCTTGATTTCCTCTCCCTGCTGTCTCACCAAAATATCCTGAAAATTCTCCATTCAGGCACCCTGATTACATCCCCCACTCTGCATCAAAGGCAGAAAATTACCAGCCACTCCAAATAAAGCAGCAGCTGCTCGGGTTTAACTCCTAAATGTCACTTCCAGCACGGCTGAGGCATCCCAGGATTACAGGGGAGCGTTTATTCCCACAGGAATTTCCAAGGAAGGGACAAGTTGCGAGATCAGGGGAGAAAAGAGGATGAGTCAGACTTTTAAAAACAAAAATCCAGGTTATAGGTGAGACTTGAGCCCTGTAAAAAATCCATGGGAGCTCTCCAGGGATCAGACCAAACCTGCCAGAGGAAACAGCACCAACAGCCTGGGATTCCTGGTTTAGGCATTGTGGTTTCAGGGGAAAATTTGGTTTTTTCTACAGCAGGCCACTCAATTTACATCAATTTTCTTCAGGCAGAGGGGAAAGCAGTGCCAGGCTCCCAGTCTGGGCTGCTTAATGACAATGAGAACAAGAAGCTGGGTGAAAAACTGCCCCAAAATCAGCTTTAGGAATTGTCTGGTACCAAACCAAGGGATGCAGTAGAACTGATTTCCTTTTCTCTATGGGCAAAGTGGTTTAGGCAAAGGGCTGTGACTGTGAGCCTTCAAGTGCAGGTTTGAGATGCACAGTGATAAAAAAGAAGGGGAAAGGTAAGGAAAAGCAGGAATTGTGTCCACAATGACACCAGGAATGAAGGCAGTGCCACCCAAAGAGCAGCAGAGCCTGCTCAGGAAAAAGAGACAAATGATTAAACGTGGTAATATTTAATAATGAGCTTTTTAAACCCAGGTTAGTGGGGTGGAGCAGTTGCTCAGTTTGGGTTTGGACAAAGCAGCCCAGGACCATGCCTGGATCCCAGCACAGCTGGAACAGCAGCTGGAACAGGGACAAAGCACAGGAGGCTCCCAGGTCCCTCCCCTCCCCTTTGGTCACACACAGGCAGAAAACACCGAGGTTTTTCTCCCATTTACTTCCAGAGAAAGGAATACAGAGCTTCAAGTCATTGTACATCATTCCATGGGGAGTGTGAGCTGCAGCCTCCCCCTCCCCTGGCAGGAGCCTGCACTGGTGAGCGGTGACAGAGGGGACAGAGCCCCTGGGGACAGCCCCAGTGCCAGCCCTGGCCCTGGCTGGGACTGAGGGGCACGGAACGAGCACCAGGAGGGGAAACTCCAGCCCCCATTGCCATTATCCCAAACTGCCACTGAGGAATGGGGTTTGGAGAGGCAGCGGGGAAGGGCTGGGAGACATTCCCAGTGATGCTGGAACACATTCCCAGTGATGCTGGAATAAATTCCCAGTGATGCTGGAACACATTCCCAGTGCTGTGGGAACACATTCCCAGTGGTGGTGGGACACGTTCCCAGTGCTGCACAAATACATTCCCAGAGGTGCAGGAACACATTCCCAGTGATGTTGGAATACATTCCCAGTGGTACTGGAATAAATTCCCAGTGCTGTGGGACACATTCCCAGTGGTGCAGAAATACATTCCCAGTGGTACTGGGATACATTCCCAATGCTGTGGGAATAAATTCCCAGTGCTGTGGAAATACATTCCCAGTGCTGCTGGGATACATTCCCAGTGGTGCAGGAATAAATTCCCAATGTTGTGGGAATAAATTCCCAGTGCTGTGGGAATAAATTCCCAGTGCTGTGGGACACATTCCCAGTGGTGCAGGAATAAATTCCCAGTGGTACTGGGATACATTCCCAATGCTGTGGGAATAAATTCCCAGTGCTGCTGGGATACATCCCCAGTGCTGTGGGAATTCATTCCCAGTGTTGCAGGAATCCATTCCCACTGGTTCAGGAATCCATTATTCCCACTGGTTCAGGAATCCATTCCCAGTGTTGCAGGGATCCATTCCCACTAGTTCAGGAATCCATTCCCACTGGTTCAGGAATCCATTATTCCCACTGGTTCAGGAATCCATTCCCACTGGTACAGGAATCCATTCCCACTGGTACAGGAATCCATTCCCACTGGTACAGGAATCCATTCCCACTGGTTCAGGAATCCATTCCCACTGGTTCAGGAATCCATTCCCAGTGTTGCAGGGATCCATTCCCACTAGTTCAGGAATCCATTCCCACTGGTTCAGGAATCCATTCCCACTAGTTCAGGAATCCATTCCCACTGGTACAGGAATCCATTCCCACTGGTACAGGAATCCATTATTCCCACTGGTTCAGGAATCCATTCCCAGTGCTGTGGGACACATTCCCAGTCAGGAGGAGGGGCACAGGGCTGTGATCCATCCACAGGCAGCCAGGCACTCCCCTGCCATGCTCAGCAATCCCAGGGAAGGGCACATTCCCCTCCTGGGGCTCCGTTTTTCAGGGATTTGGGCTTCCCAGGCTTCCGTGTGCACGCCAGGGGTAAAAAGTGACCTGCAAAAGATGAGGGGCTGGGCTGGAGGGGGAGAGGCAGCCCTGGAGCAGCTGCAGCTGTGGTGCTCAGGGTTTGGTGCATCAAAAACACCCACAGGGGCTGTCAGGGGCTTTCTGGGGACGCACAATCCTGGGGAGTGCAGGGCCAGGGCTGAAGGCAAAGCCAAGGCTGCTCCCTGGAGCTGTGCTCTCCCAAGGGATCCTTTTATTTCCCACCCCAAACCCTCCTGGCAGCTCAGAGCCTGCACCCTGCAGCTGCCAAGGAGTTTTGCTCCCAGGGGTGATACAAAAATAGCCACCAGCTCCAATTTCAAAAAGAGGCTGGATGGCAACGCCCAGCCTTGGCCACAAGAGCCTGAAACTCCTCCAGGGGAATCTTTTGCAGGTCTCCCTTTTAAGGCCTTAATGTCATTACAGAGAGAGGGATTCTTTTGTCTTGTGCTTGCCATTGCTGCCCTCTCTGAGCAGCACCAAAACCTCCTCAAACTGAGCAGTTCCAGTGCCTGGCTGTCAGTGCAGGATCCAGAGGGAGGGACACAACAAGCACCAGGTGTTTAAGCTGCTGCAAGGGCAGGACTGATGTGCCAAGTGTTCTAAACAACCACACAAACAGCCAAATGTTGAGCCACTGCAACGCTGCTGCTGCTGCTACTCAGATTCTCAACATCAGCCACAGCAAAGGAAGAGAAATCAAAATCAAACCCAAAACCGAGCACTGGTATGGACACAGAAGAGTTCATCTTGGCTGGAGCTGTGCTCCCAGGAGGGAGGACTGGATGTGGCAGTGGCTCCCGAGTCCGATCGAGAGCAGAGGCTGGCACAGAGATGACAAACACCAGTGGGGCCAGGTCCAGAGTGGATTGTCATGGCAGGAGCTCCTGCTGCTGAGCAAAGACAGATCCAGGAGGACAGGGCTGCTCCCCTCTCCTTGGAAGTTCTGGTCATCAGTTAAGGAACATTGAGACACTTCCCAAACTGCAGCAACAGGATTCTGTTGGCTCTTCAGAGATTCAGTCCCACAGCTGTTTTGGGTTCAGAAGAAGCAGAGGGAGCCTCTTGTGCCACATCTGTGAAGGGAATTGCAACAGAGAAGAGATCAGAACTCATCAGACACACCCACGAGCACCCAATACAATTCCACAGGGCCCAGGTGCTTCCCTGCTCTGCTCCACCCCTGGGAAGCACATGTTCCATGTGGAACAGGGCATGACTGGAAATGTTCAGGGAATGCCTTGGAAATTTGGGTTATAACCTGCCAAAACAGAAGGAAAACTACATGGCCAATCCTGTGGAATTGCTCATGAACAGATCCCAAAAGGAAAACTGAACTGGCCAGGACAGGTGTAGGGAAAGCTCAGTTCAAGCCCATAAACTCTGGTCATTCACTGTTACTAAACCATAGGATATCCTGAGCCAGAATGGATCCAAAAAGATCATTAATAAATCATAAAATATGATTTATTTATCATTCTTATTATTTATTTCCTTGTTAGTAAATAAAGCCCAGCTTAAGCAGGGCCTGTCCCACATAAGGAACATTCCAGGGACGATGCTGAGTGCTGGACAAACCCTGTTTAGAAAATTCTGGTTTATCCCTTCCAACACTGCCTGGCTTTGTACAACTTTGTTCAATGTAAAAAAGCAATTAGTGCAAGAACAGCTCCCTCACAGAGCCTTCAGCCTTCCCTCCACCCCTGGCAAAGGATCCAGGCAGAATTCCCAGCTCTGCCAGCACTGGTTTAGCTCTGCTCAAGCAGGATCCAGGCAGGATTCCCAGCTCTGCCAGGACTGGTTAAACTCTGCTCAAGCAGGATCCAGAATTCCCAGCTCTGCCAGGACTGGTTAAACTCTACTCAAGCAGGATCCAGGATTCCCAGCTCTGCCAGCACTGGGTTAAACTCTGCTCAAGCAGGATCCAGGATTCCCAGCTCTCCCAGCACTGGGTTAAACTCTGCTCAAGCAGGATCCAGGATTCCCAGCTCTGCCAGGACTGGGTTTAGCTCTGCTGAGCCTGGATCCAGAATTCCCAGCTCTGCCAGCACTGGGTTTAGCTCTGCTCAAGCAGCATCCAGGATTCCCAGCTCTGCCAGGACTGGTTTAGCTCTGCTGAGCCAGGATTCAGGCAGAATTCCCAGCTCTGCCAGGACTGGGTTTAGCTCTGCTCAAGCAGGATCCAGGATTCCCAGCTCTGCCAGGACTGGGTTTAGCTCTGCTCAAGCAGGATCCAGGATTCCCAGCTCTGCCAGGACTGGTTTAGCTCTGCTCAAGCAGGATCCAGGCAGAATTCCCAGCTCTGCCAGGACTGGTTTAGCTCTGCTCAAGCAGGATCCAGGATTCCCAGCTCTGCCAGCACTGGTTTAGCTCTGCTGAGCCAGGATCCAGGCAGGATTCCCAGCTCTGCCAGGACTGGTTAAACTCTGCTCAAGCAGGATCCAGGCAGAATTCCCAGCTCTGCCAGGACTGGGTTTAGTTCTGCTGAGCCAGGATCCAGGATTCCCAGCTCTGCCAGGACTGGTTTAGCTCTGCTGAGCCAGGATCCAGGCAGGATTCCCAGCTCTGCCAGCACTGGGTTTAGCTCTGCTCAAGCAGGATCCAGGCAGGATTCCCAGCTCTGCCAGGACTGGTTTAGCTCTGCTCAAGCAGGATCCAGGATTCCCAGCTCTGCCAGGACTGGGTTAAACTCTGCTCAAGCAGGATCCATGCAGGATTCCCAGCTCTGCCAGGACTGGTTTAGCTCTGCTGAGCCAGGATCCAGAATTCCCAGCTCTGCCAGGACTGGGTTTAGCTCTGCTGAGCCAGGATCCAGAATTCCCAGCTCTGCCAGGACTGGTTTAGCTCTGTTCAAGCAGGATCCAGGCAGAATTCCCAGCTCTGCCAGGACTCTGCTGCCCCTGTGCTGCTCAGGGCTGTCCCAGCTCCCAGAGCAGCCCCTCCCAGGCCCTGCTGCCATTCCCACCTCCAGCAGACACAGAGAGCTGCTCCAGCTCAGCTTCCAGCTCGGCATCAGAGATGGGGGCACTCAGCACCTTCTGGGGAACGGGAGGCAGCTCCAGGGAATCCTTGCTGGAGTCCTGCAGGAGACTGTCCAGCTCCTTCTCCAGCTCCTCAGAGTCCATCTCTGTGAGCAAAGAAAATGTTTCAGCTCCAAGGAGAATTCAGTGGCACCCTCACAGCACAGACTGAGATCCAAAGCAGAGCTGTTATTCCTTCCATCCATTGTTATTCACAAGGAATTTCCTGTACTTCTTTTAAAGGACTGAAAATTCAGTCCTGATCTCAGGGAGAATTTTTTCCTTGGCACTGAGGCCAAGAAGCTCTGGCACCCTTCAGCAGAGGCAAACAAGCTGCAGCAGCAAGCAGGCCAGAGGAAAAAGCTCATCACTTCAACAAAACAAAGCAGCAGCTGCCCTAAAAATAGATTTAAACCAATATTACCCAGCTCTGAACTGAAACCCAGCCCCAAACGGGGACCATGAGGATTTGGAGATGAATAAACTCAGAGGGGAGAACTCCCTGCTCCCATTCCCTTCAAGGAACCAACTTTGAATTTTGGGAAGAGTTTATTCCCCCAGGAAGGTGCTGAATGTGGGGAGGGAGCAGGGAAAGGAGAGAGCAGGAAGGGATGGAGCAGGGAAAGGAGGGAAAAGGGATGGGAGGGAGCAGGGAAAGGAGGGAGGAAGGGAAAGGAGGGAGAAAGGGAAAGGAGGGAAAAGGGATGGGAGGGAGCAGGGAAAGGAGGGAAAAGGGATGGGAGGGAGGAAGGGAAAGGAGGGAGGAAGGGAAAGGGATGGAGCAGGGATGGGAGGGAGCAGGGATTGGAGAGAGTAAGGATGGGAGGAAGGGAAAGGAGGGAGCAGGGAAAGGAAGGAGCAGGGAAAGGAAGGAGCAAGGAAAGGAAGGAGCAGGGATGGGAAGGAGCAGGGATGGGAAGGAGCAGGGAAAGCAGAGAGCAGGAAAAGGAAGGAGCAGGGAAAGGAAGGAGCAGGGAAAGGAAGGAGCAGGGATGGGAAGGAGCAGGGATGGGAAGGAGCAAGGAAAGGAAGGAGCAGGGATGGGAAGGAGCAGGGATGGGAAGGAGTAAGGAAAAGCAGAGAGCAGGGAAAGCAGAGAGCAGGGAAAGGAAGGAGTAGGGAAAGCAGAGAGCAGGAAAAGGAAGGAGCAGGGATGGGAAGGAGCAGGGAAAGGAAGGAGCGGGGAAAGCAGAGAGCAGGGAAAGGAAGGAGCAGGGATGGGAAGGAGCAGGGAAAGGAAGGAGCAGGGATGGGAAGGAGCAGGGAAAGGAAGGAACAGGGAAAGCAGAGAGCAGGGGTGGCAGAGAGCAGGGAAAGGAAGGAGTAAGAAAAAGGAAGGAGTAAGAAAAAGGAAGGAGTAAGGAAAAGGAAGGAGTAAGGAAAAGAGAGAGCAGGGGTGGCAGGGAGTGAGGCAAAGGAGAAGCCAAGGATGCAAAGCCCAGGACATACCCAGCCCATTGATCCCCACTCCAGCCAGGGTCTGGGCCACTTCATCTTGAGTGTCACAAAGCTGAGGTAAAATAAACACAATGAGATACAGATCAGAAATTAATTCTGTGCCCTCCTGCAGCTGCTTTGTCAAAAGCAGAAATAACAAACAAAACCAGAAGTTGGCCTGAAGGCAGCAGGAATTAGTGCCAAATCTCCACCTTGCTTTTCACAAGGAACATGAAGATTATTTCAGAATAATAAATAACAACACCAAGGATGGCACATTTGAGGGTCAAACCCCCAACCAGAATTTCACAGTGGGAGGAAAAATATTGCTCAGATTGGAGCTTTTCCACAGCAATCCTGAGCTGCAATTGCAGCTTGGGCTCCAGAAGCAGGAAGCTGAAAACCAACACGTCCCAAGCAGGGCATTCTGCAGCCCCTCAGCTCCAGCTGCAGGCTCAGTTTGAGCTGATGGTGCTAAAAAATGAATCCTTGGCTGGTTTCACACCAGCTCTGACTGCCAGACTGCTCTGCTCACTTCAGCTCCTGCAGAACTCACTCCTTTCCCTCACTGAAATGCAGGAGATTCCAGAATTAACTGCAGAAGGTTGGAAAAGACCTTTGAGATCATCAAATCCAGCCTATAAACATTAAAATGAAATGAAATAAAATAGAATAGAAATAAAATAGAAGAAAATGAAATGAAATAAACATAAAATAAAATAAAACTAGAATAAAAATAGAATAAATAACTAAAAAATGAATAAAATAGAACAAAAACAAAACAAAATAATAAAATAAAAATAAAATTAAATTAAAATAAAAATAACATAAAATAAAATAAAAATAACATAAAATAAAATAAAATTAACATAAAATAAATTAAAAATAACATAAAATAAAATAAAATAAAATAAAATAATCATAAAATAAAATAAAATACAATAAAATAAAATAAAATAAAATAAAATAAAATAAAATAAAATAAAATAAAATAAAATAAAATAAAATAAAATAAATTTAATTTAAATGTCAGGCTGTTTCATGCACACAGTTGCATTCCAGCTTCCAAAGGTTTCATTTGTATTTTTAATACACCTAAAGCTGGGTGCTTCCCCAATTTTGCTGATTAAAAAAACCCCAGAAAATGCAAATTTCAAGTAAATTAAAATACATTGCAGCAAAACCAGAAGACACAGAAATTTTCTTGCTGATGTTTTAGCTCAAAATTAAGTCAGTTTGCTTTAGTGCCATAAAGGGAAAAAACTAAATAATTAAAAGCAAGCACAGAATTAATAATTAATTAATATCTGGGCAGGTTTCTTGGGAATATCCACACCCCCCTGGCTGTTCCAGTACCTCTTGGATCTGATCCACCAGGTTCTCTGCCCTCTCCACAGTCACATCCTTCATGGAAAGCTTCAGAGCTCCCACTCCAGCCTGGTAGGCATTAAACACCTGGAAATTCAAAATAAAAGAGATGAAGATGCACAGTGATCATGAACTCCAGCCTGGTAGGTATTAAATACCTGGAAATTCAAAATAAAACAGATGAAGATGCACAGTGCTGATGAACTTCAGCCTGGTAGGTATTAAATACCTGGAAATAAGAAATAAAATACAGAAAGATCCACAGTACTGATGAAATCCAGGCTGGTTGGTATTAAATGCCTTGAAATTAAAAAGAAAAGAGATGAAGATGCACAATGCTGATGAACTCCAGGCTGGTTGGTATTAAATACCTTGAAATTAAAAATAAAAGAGATGAAGATGCACAATGCTGATGAACTTCAGCCTGGTAGGTATTAAATACCTGGAAATTCAAAATAAAAGAGATGAAGATGCACAATGCTGATGAACTCCAGGCTGGTAGGCACTAAATACCTGGAAATAAGAAATAAAATACAGAAAGATCCACAGTGCTGATAAACTCCAGCCTGCTTGGCATTAAATACCTGGAAATTCAAAATAAAACAGATGAAGATGCACAGTGCTGATGAAATCCAGCCTGGTAGGCACTAAATACCTGGGAATTCAAAATAAAACAGATGAAGATGCACAGTGCTGATGAAATCCAGGCTGGTTGGTATTAAATACTTTGAAATTAAAAATAAAGAGATGAAGATGCACAATGCTGATGAACTCCAGCCTGGTTGGTATGAAATACCTGGAAATTAAAGAGATGAAGATGCACAATGCTGATGAACTCCAGCCTGGTTGGTATTAAATACCTTGAAATTAAAAATAAAAGAGATGAAGATGCACAGTGCTCATGAACTCCAGCCTGGTTGGTATGAAATACCTGGAAATTAAAGAGATGAAGATGCACAGTGCTGATGAACTCCAGGCTGGTTGGTATGAAATACCTGGAAATTAAAGAGATGAAGATGCACAATGCTGATGGAAACAGTGGGAGCTCCTCTCCAGAGCTGCTTCCCAAGCAGCATCCTTGGAGAAACACCAGGACATGGAGGAGCTTTATGCAGAGGGACATGGCCAGGGGAAATGCCAGCCCTGAGGGGAAGGGATGAGGGGAAGGAGCAGGGGAGGAGCAGGGGAGGAGCCCAGGGGAGGAGCCCTCGGTACCATCTGGTCGGTCTGGGAGGCGTAGATCCGATCCAGGATTCCCTGCACCGCGTCCAGCTTGGAGTGCAGCTCCTCAATGCGCCGCTCTGTCCTCCGCTTGGCCTTGAGGCACCGCAGGGCCTGCCAGGGACACAAACACACACAGAGAGATCAGAGCACACAGAGAGAATCACAGAGAGAGAGAGCTCAGATCACAGAGAGAGAGAGAGATCAGATCACACACACACAAAGAGCTCAGATCACACAGAGAGAGAGCTCAGATCACACAGAGAGAGCTCAGAGCACACAGAGAGATCAGATCACAGAGAGAGAGCTCAGATCACACAGAGAGAGCTCAGATCACACAGAGAGAGAGAGCTCAGATCACAGAGAGAGAGAGCTCAGATCACACAGAGAGAGCTCAGATCACACAGAGAGAGAGCTCAGATCACACAGAGAGAGCTCAGATCACACAGAGAGAGAGCTCAGATCACACAGAGAGAGAGCTCAGATCACACACACACAGAGCTCAGATCACACACACAGAGCTCAGATCACACAGAGAGAGAGCTCAGATCACACAGAGAGAGAGCTCAGATCACACACACACAGAGCTCAGATCACACACACAGAGCTCAGATCACAGAGAGAGAGAGAGAGATCAAATCACACACACACACACAGAGCTCAGATCATAGAGCTCATATCACAGAAAGATCAGCTCAGAGAGAGCTCAAATCACAGAGATCAGCTCACACACACAGAGAGAGCTCAGATCACACACACACAGAGCTCAGATCACACAGAGAGAGCTCAAATCACAGAGAGATCAGCTCACACACACACACACACACACACAGAGCTCAGATCACACAGAGAGATCAGATCACACACACACACACATACAGAGAGCTCAGCTTCCCAAACACACAGAGTGAGCTCAGCTCACACAGACACCTCAGCTCAGCTTCACAAACACACAGAGAGCTCTGCTCACACACACACAGAGCTCAGCTCACACACAGAGACCTCAGCTTCACAAACACAGATAGAGAGCTCAGCTCACACACACAGAGAAAGCTCAGCTCACAGAGAGACACCTCAGCTCAGCTTCACAAACCCACACACACACAGAGATACCTAATCTCACACACAGAGCCCTCAGCTTCACACACACACACACAGAGCTCAGATCATACAAACACAGAGAGCTCAGCTCACACACAGAGCCCTCAGCTTCACACACACACAGAGAGCTCAGATCACACAGACACAGAGAGAGCTCAGATCACACAAACACAGAGAGCTCAGATCACAAGCACAGAGTGAGCTCAGCTTCACAAACACAGACAGAGAGAGCTCAGCTCACACACAGAGCCCTCAGCTTCATACACACACACACAGAGCTCAGATCACACAAACACAGACAGAGCTCAGCTCACACACAGAGCCCTCACCTTCACAAACACAGACAGAGAGAGCTCAGCTCACACACACAGCCCTCAGCTCAGCCTCACGCACAAATCTGGGAACTTTCCCCTCCCCTGGGCTTATTCCCACTTTGGTGAGTCCAGTAATTCCTGCTGGCACCATGGTGTGGGGATCCTTAAAATCAGAGGGTTTTGGGGAAGTTGTAAAGGGCAGGCCTCAGACAGCAGAACTGTGATTGGAGCTAAGCATTAGAGATTTGTCAGCAGAAAAGTTACATGAGATGTAGAAAGTAAGGACAAATAAAAACAATGGTCTGTGTATTAACCCTTGGCTACAATAACTCCCAACACCCCCGTGATGAAGCCCCCAGGTTTAACCCTGGGCATGATCTGCAGTTCTGGGGCAGCTCCAGGACAATTCCCTGGCAATTCCACTCACCAGCTGCTTCTTCCCAGCTCTGCAAGCACTCCTGGCATCCTCTTTACACCTGCAAGATGGAAAAAGGAGAAAGGAAAGGAAATTTCTTCCTTTTTTCACAACCCACAACCACCCTCCCCCTCTCTCTGAGGGGATCACAAGGTGCATTTTGGATACAACCACCCTCAAACCACTGCTGATTCCCACAGGTCCCTGACTGCATTCCAAATCCTTGCAAACACTCCCTGCACCTTGTTTTCACAGGGAACAGGGAACAAAGGCTGGGAAAGCTGCCCCAGCACACGGCTGTGACCATTTTGTTTATGAACAGGAAAGAACAACAGGAGAAAGCAGCTTCTAATTGTGTCCCAGAGTTCTCCATCCCACAGATGTTGTTCCCACCACCCTTCCCCAAATTACTTCTCTGCTTCCTGGGAAAGGGACTCCACCTTCTGTGACAGCAGCTGCTCACTCTGCATCAGCTGATAAACTCCAATGTCCACATCATTCATTGGGGACACCTTGGCGTGGAGGCCTCGGGCAAACTTCACAATCTGGAACCAGAGCAGCACAGCCTGGAGTCACTCCCCAGAAATCTCAAAATCTCACTTGGAAGGAAGGAAAAGAAGTTTTTACATTCCCAGTTTAGCTTTGGTGTCATGAGAATGTCCCAGTCACCAGAGGATTTAATATTAAACCAGGATCAGGATCAGCAGGGTGGGAACAAAAAGCCCTAAGGGAACACCTGGAAGATTTCAAGCTGTCCCTGGATTCTGGAAGTGGATGGGAATGTCAGACTCCCAGGACTTCAGAACACTGCAGGGAAAGTGGAACCTCAGAGCTGAGTGCCTGCACCTCTGTGGGAAGTGACAAACATAAAAAGGTTTTCAGAAACGTGGAATTCCACAGTGATTGGAGAGGTGTGGAGTTTGTGTGGCTGGGAATAGTCAACCTGCAGGGTCTGCCATGTTTCTAACTCCTCAATTAAATCTGAATTATTAGAAGTGTTTAAAGAACCCACTGACACTGTGATATTTTCTGAAAAATCCCTTTGCCAGGATTTCTTCTCCTGGAAGATGAGAAGCCTCAGCTGCTCCGTGTTCTCCTCCTCTGGAATGTGGTCTGGAGGTTGTTTATCCAAACATGTGAATTGTTTTTAATTAATGACCAATCCCCATCAGCTGTGTCGGACTCTAAGGAGTCAGCCATGAACTTTCATGATCATTCTTTTCTACCCTTCTGATGTATCCTTTCTCTTTCTTTAGTACAGTTTAATTATATAATTTCATATAATTTCATATAATATAAATAATATAATATAATATAATGCAATGTAATGCAATATAATATAAATCATTTCATATGATACGATATAATATAATATCATATAATTTCATATAATTTCTTATAATACAACTTCATATGATATGATATGATATAATATGATATTATAACATATGATATAATATTATATTACATTATTATATTATATTATCATATAATATATCATATAATATGAAATAATATAATATAATATAATATAATATAATATAATATAATATAATATAATATAATGCAATATAATGCAATATAATATAAATCATTTCATATGATACTATATCATATCATATCATATAATTTCATATAATTTCTTATAATACAACTTCATATTATATGATATATTATATTATATGATTTCATATGATATGATATATGATATGATATATGATATGATGTAATGTAATATAATGCAATATAGTATAATATAGTATAATACAGTATAATATAGTATAATATGATATATCATTTCTTATAAAACAATTTCATATTAAATGATATATTATATTATATTATATTATATTATATTATTTCATATTATTTCATAATATAATATAATATCACTTTATATCATATAATATCATTTCATATCATATAATATCATATCATATAATTTCATATGATGTAATATAATTTTATATCATTTCATATCATTTCATGTATCAGCCTTCTGAGGACATGGAGTCAAATTCTCATCTCTCACCTCATCCTGGGTGTCTCACACCACCACCTGCCGTGCCACAATTAGGGTTTCTTGTCCCCTACAACCACCTTGAAGCACGTGGAATTCACCTTTCCAGAGAGAGCACAGCCATCTCAGCCAGCAGAACGCCTCCAATCCATGGCTCTCCAGGCAGGTGGAAGGCAAGACAGAGATGACACCACCCAAAAGCAGTCACCTGGACCCTGTACCTTCTCTCCGTTCTGCTCCAGGATGGTGACCCTCTTCTCCTTCTGCAGCTGCAGCAGCAGCAGGTAGAAGGTCCTCTCGTCGGGGCACAGGCCGGCGCACAGCGAGCGCAGCTCGGAGAGCGCCACCACGGGGTGGGAGGAGAGCGCCGAGCTCTGGTACAGCCGATAAACCTCCTCTGCCTTCTCCTGCAAGGATCCGGCCACACAGACACTTCAGGGGATTTACAGATTTCAGAGGAGCTAAGATCACGGTTAGAGATGAGCTTCAGTGGAGTTCATCAAGGCCTACCCATTTGTTTTAATTAAGAGTTAGTGGTTAACTAATAATTGATTGATTGTCAACGCAATGTTGGGTTAGCTGGGTTTATAATGAAGAATATAGGAACTGATAAATGGCTTTTAGGAACATAAAACAATTGTTTTTAGGAGCATAAGACAATTGTTTTTAGGAGGATAAGACAATTGTTTTTAGGAGCACAAGACAATTGTTTTTAGGAGGATAAGACAATTGTTTTTAGGAGCATAAGACAATTGTTTTTAGGAGCATAAGACAATTGTGGCCTCCTCTGTTCTAAAACCAATTGAAGATGGGGAATGGGAGTTCTACCAAGGGTTCACTTGTCATCTTTGCATTGAAAAGGTAGAAAGGTCAGAATGAGGAAGACTTCAGTTACTTCCTCATTTTGGGACCCCTCCCCATGAAAGGGACCACCCCATTTCAAGGGACAAACTACTCATGCTTAATAACTTTGGAACTAATAGGAAGCAGGGAATGGGATGTACCAAAGTTATGAATTTTGTATTTTGGGTATTCAATACTTGTACAGATAAAAGGACTCTGTAATCACCTGTAGATGGTGTGTATTTGGGAGTTATCCCACAATAAACAAACACTTTCTAACTTTAAACTGTCAGAGAGTTTTTGGATATTGGTACTGGGATGGGATCTACCAAAGTTATGAATGTGCATTTGGAGTTTGGGTATTCAATATTTGTATAGATAAAAGGACTCTGTGATCACCTGTAAATCACAGTGTGTATTTGGGAGTTATCCCACAATAAACAAACACTTTCTAACTTAAAACTGTCAGAGAGTTTTTGTCTGTCACAGCTGGATATTGGTACTAGATCAATATCCATACTGGGAATGGGATGTACCAAAGTTATGAATGTGCATTTGGATTTTGGGTATTCAATATTTGTATAGATAAAAGGACTCTGTAATCATCTGTAAATTGGGTGTGTATTTGGGAGTTATCCCACAATAAACAAACACTTTCTAACTTTAAACTGTCAGAGAGTTTTTGGATATCAGTACTAGATCAATATCCATACTGGGAATGGGATGTACTAAAGTTATGAATGTGCATTTGGATTTTGGGTATTCAATACTTGTATAGATAAAAGGACTCTGTAATCACCTGTAGATGGTGTGTATTTGGGAGTTATCCCACAATAAACAAACACTTTCTAACTTTAAACTGTCAGAGAGTATTTGGATATTGGTACCAGATCAATATCCATACTGGGAATGGGATGTACCAAAGTTATGAATATATATTTGGATTTTGGGTATTCAGTACCTGTACAGATAAAAGGACTCTGTGATCACCTGTAAACCACAGTGTGTATTTGGGAGCTATCCCACAATAAACAAACACTTTCTAACTTTAAACTGTCAGAGAGTTTTTGTCTGTCACAGTTGGATATCAGTACTAGATCAATATCCATACTGGGAATGGGAAGTACCAAAGTTATGAATATATATTTGTATTTTGGGTTTTCAATACTTGTATAGATAAAAGGACTCTGTGATCACCTGTAAATCACAGTGTGTATTTGGGAGTTATCCCACAATAAACAAACACTTTCTAACTTTAAACTGTCAGAGAGTATTTGGATATCGGTACCAGATCAATATCCATACTGGGAATGGGATGTAGCAAAGTTATGAATATATATTTGTATTTTGGGTATTCAATATTTGTACAGATAAAAGGACTCTGTGATCACCTGTAAATCACAGTGTGCATTTGGGAGTTATCCCACAATAAACAAACACTTTCTAACTTTAAACTGTCAGAGAGTTTTTGGATATTGGTACTAGATCAATATCCATACTGGGAATGGGATGTACCAAAGTTATGAATGTGCATTTGGATTTTGGGTATTCAATATTTGTATAGATAAAAGGACTCTGTAATCATCTGTAAATTGGGTGTGTATTTGGGAGTTATCCCACAATAAACAAACACTTTTTAACTTTAAACTGTCAGAGAGTTTTTGGATATCAGTACTAGATCAATATCCATACTGGGAATGGGATGTACTAAAGTTATGAATATGCATTTGGATTTTGGGTATTCAGTACCTGTACAGATAAAAGGACTCTGTGATCACCTGTAAATCACAGTGTGTATTTGGGAGTTATCCCACAATAAACAAACACTTTTTAACTTTAAACTGTTAGAGAGTGTTTGGATATCAGTACTAGATCAATATCCATACTGGGAATGGGAAGTACCAAAGTTATGAATATATATTTGTATTTTGGGTTTTCAATACTTGTATAGATAAAAGGACTCTGTAATCACCTGTAGATGGTGTGTATTTGGGAGTTATCCCACAATAAACAAACACTTTCTAACTTTAAACTGTCAGAGTTTTTGTCTGTCACAGTTGGATATTGGTACTAGATCAATATCCACAATTTTTGAATAAATCACAGTGATGCCTTAGGATTCCACCTCTGGTGTTTTCCAGATCCTGTGCTGCCTCAGTGCATCACTCTGAACTCCAGAGAGAGTCAGTTCCTGGCTTCACATTCTGGGCACACAAACAATCCCTCCAGGCCTGAGATCCAGGGACACTCTGCTGCCTCAGGCCCCAAAAAGCATCAACAAAAGTGAATTGGGGGGTGCAAACTGGGGGTAAATGACTTCATTAGCTGGAGCTGTAATTGGACAATTAACCCCTGATATGTAAATGAACCAAACTCATACCTGTCTGAAAAACTCATGACCCCTGTGCATCCTGGAGACTGCTGACTGCCCAAGGTGTAGCTAACTTTAAGGCCTTTATTATTATTATTATTATTATTATTATTATTATTATTATTATTATTATTATTATTATCATTATTATTATATGTTTATTAATAATATAACCTTATTGTTTATTATTAATAAATCTTTATTAATTTGTTATTATTTCTCTTTAATTATTTCTATTCATTAACTTATTATTAATGAATGCCCACTTGATTCTCTAACTCAGTCTAGGCTCTGTTCTAGGCAGCCACCCCAAGGCACCCCAGGGGTGCTGGCAGCCCACCCAGCATTCCTGCTCTTCCCAAATGCTCCACACCTCCTTCCTCCCAACCTGGACACTTCCTGCTTTATTCCAGGGTGAATTTCAGGATGAGCCACAGGGAACTCTCAAAACAGTCATCCACAAAAACCAAAACTCTGTTGTGGACATTGCCTGAAAAGCTGTGGAGCAGCACAGGAACCACACAGGCATCAATTGGCTTCTCCTGCACTTCCCAGAAATCCCTCAAATCCAGGTTTGAAGCGAATCAAAACTCCTGCTTTTACAGCTTTCCCACATTTCTGCTGGACACAGTAACCCAGAGAACCACAGCAAGGCCTGGGCTCCTTCAGCAGACACAGAGTAACAGAGAGAGAGAACAGGGGCTGGGCCAGGGTCCCATCCCATGGGAAAGCAGCTGGAATAATGGGAAAAAAGGGAATCTGGGCTGGGGGGACACTGGATGGCCAGGCTGGGACTGTCCCATGCCCTGCTCACCCCTGGAGCAGATGGAGCTCAGGCTCAGGGTTCCTCATGTCCATGAGCTCCAGCCTGGGATTCCCAGCTGGCTGCCAGCACAGTTCTCACCTCCCTGCAATTGTGGAATTGCAAGGAATTGTGTCCTTCCCTTTTCCTGGAGTCAGTGAGGAATCATTGTCAGAACCATGGAATGTTTGGGATGGAAGGACCTGAAATCCCAACAGTGCCACCCCTGCCATGGCAGGGACACCTCCCACTGTCCCAGAGGCTCCAGCCTGGCCTTGGGCACCTCCAGGGATCCAGGGCAGCCCCAGCTCCCTGGGAGTTCCATCCCAGCCTCCCAGGGAACAATTCCTATCCAGTATCCCCTCCATCCCTGCCCTGTGGCAGTGGGAGCCACTCCCTGTGTCCTGTCCCTCCATCCCTTGTCCCCAGTCCCTCTCCAGCTCTCCTGGAGCCCCTTCAGGCCCTGCCAGGGGCTCTGAGCTCTCCCTGGAGTTTCTCTTCTCCACATGAGCACCTCCAGCTCTCCCAGCCTGGCTCCAGCCCTTGGAGCAGCTCCATCATTTTCAAGGAATATCCAATTCCCTTCCCATCCCCAAGTCACTCCACACATCTCTCTCCAGGCTTTTGAACACCTCAGCAGCACCAAGGAAGATCTGCTCAGCCCTGAGCCCTCCTTCCAGCCCCTGAAATGAGTCCTGGTTTTCCTGGAGATGCCCAGGAAAAGCTCTCCACAACACTCACCTGCAGCAACTCCACGTAGATCAGAACCTCCTCTTCCTCAGGGATTTTGCTATCCCCCAGCACGCTGGACAGGGTCCACTTGAGGGGCTTCAGGATGAAAACTCCCACACCCCATGAGATCCAGCTGCTGTCTACACTGGCCATGAAGTCTGACTCCCTCTGGAGCTTCCCACGTCTAGGGAAAAGAGAATTCAGGTGGAACTGAACAGAGTCAGTCTAAGCCCTGGAGATCCTGCACATCCTCCACTCCAGAGGCATTTTCTATCACCAAATCCAGCTCAGGTTTGAGATTCCATTGCTGGAAGCACACAGAGGTTTCCACTCCTCCCCTGCTTCCTCTGGATCCCAAGTGCCTTTTTTTTATTCTTTTTTCCCATTTTGCAAGTTTCTCCCAGTTTTCTACTCAAAACTGATGAGGCATCAAAGGAGGGGATGAAGGAGGGTCAGTTTTAGGGTAATCAGCCATTTCAGGAGAGCTCCGTTTTTATATTAAACTGCAGCAACAGCTTCTCAAATCTACTGGTTTTAATTTTCAGGTCACCAACAGAGCTCCTGCTGTTTTGAGCCTCTTCGAGGTACCAGTCCCGGGCTCCAATTTCACAGCACAAAACCTCTGGTTGCAAACACAACTCAGCACATCCCCAGTGCCCTCAGCAGCTGCGACACCACAACATTCCAGGGATTATCTCCCTGTTTAGCAGCGATATTCCTGTGGGAATATTCCTGCCCTCCCACACCTCCTGCGAGGCCCTGGCTGAGCTCTGACTGAGCTCTGACTCCCTGTCCAGCTCGGCCTCCCAAATTCCACGCACAAACACCATGAGCCGCAATTCACAGAATCTCAGACTGCTTTGGGTTGGAAGGACCTTAAATCCCACCCAGCGCCACCCCTGCCATGCCGGGGACACCTGACACTGTCTCAGGCTGCTCCAAGCCCCATCCAACCCGGCCTTGGACGCTTCCAGGCACGGGGCAGCCACAGTTGCTCTGGGAACCCCGTGCCAGGTCAGAATTGTCCCTCCGGGCTGGCACAGCACGGATCCATCGCCAGCCGCATCCCCTGACACCCCCCACACCCTCCCCGACCTCCTTTACCTCAGCAGCTCCCTGAGGACGGTGCCGAGCCCCAAGGGGACGCTGCCCCGCCGCTCGAAGCCGTTCTGCAGCTCCCTCAGGCACGTCCTCACCGCGCCCCTCCGCCGGCCGCGGGCCAGAACCAGCCCGACCCAGAAGGCCATCTTGCTGTCCCACTCGGTGCTGTTCACCTCGCGGCTCTGCTTGAAGGCCGAGAACAGGAAGGCCATGCGCTCGTCATCCGTCTCCCACTCCGGGGGCAGGTCCCCGGCCGGGGCCGGCCCAGGGGGGGCCTCCCCCGGGCTGCACATCTACGCGAGCCCCCGGCTCGGCCGCGGCCTCCGCCCGGCCCGGCCGCCCGCCCGCCTCAGGGGAGACGCGCACGGCGCATGCGCGGTGCCACCCCCGCGCCCCCCCCGCCTCACTTGGGGTGGGCCGCGCCGTCCCCCCCTCAGCCCCCGCTGTGGTACGGCCCGGAGAGGGTCAAGGGCGCCGCCCCCAATCGCCGTCCTGAGTCATGCGGTGACGTCACCGTGACGTCATATATGGCTGTCATAAACGGTCTCAAGGCCAGTAGTGGGGGGGGGGGGGGCTTGGGCTACTTGGGACTATATGTATAATTATTATATATAATATAATATATATATACTATATATATATATATAAAAATATATATACTATACTATATATATTTTATATATATATATATAAAATATATATACTATATTTCCCATTCATCTCATATACAGAATAAATGTATATTTTTAACGTTCATCATATAACATTTATTATTATCATATAATATTATTAAATATTTATATTTATATTTATATATTTATATTTATTGTATTTAAAGTTATATTATTGATATTCTATTATATAATAATATCATGCTATATAATATTTTATATAGTACATTATATATTATTATATTATGTTATATTATGTTATGTTATATTTATAATAATAGATGCATATATAATAAAGAAATTATAAATCTATTATAATAATTAATAATAATAAATCTATTATAGCATAAGGTACATATAACGTAAACTATATAATAAAAATTTTCTCAACGTATGACATCATAACTAAATATTAATCAGTATGTAATAATATAGGTATAAGTATATTCTATAATACTATATTATGTATATTATATTTACATTTTATAATACAATATTATATATATAGTATTATAATCTGATATTATATCACATCTTGATACAAAATTATATTGGATGATAATATAATATAATATTATATTATCAATATTTCATATATAATGGATCTAATTCAATATGTTATTACATAACATATAATAATGTGGTTTTGTATAAATATATATATATAAGCAAATTGCCCAGAATTTGGTGACAGCACCTTGGCTCTGCCAGCCCCAGGGAAGGCAGCCGGTCCAAGAGCTGCCTTTAAACGAATCAATGGAAATGGAAATCAGGAAATGACTCAGGACAAGCAGGATTTATTTTTAGCTCCTTCCAAACCGAATTTTCCTATTTATTATTCTATTATTATATATAATTTTATATATTATATATAAATTTTTTACTATGATATTCTGTATAATTATATTTACTATATAATATATATTCTATACTTTTATATATTGCATATTTATATTTTATTGTTTTAATAGTTATATTTTATATATAATTTTATAATTTCAATGGTTATATTTTATATAAAATTGTATATTATATTTATTGTTATCTTTATTAGTATATTTTTATAATATATTATGATATTATGCTTATTATTAAATTTATATATAATTTCAAATATTATAAATTTTTATTATATTTATTATAATATCAGGTGTAATTATGTTTAATATGTAGTATATATTATATTTTATGTTACATGCTTATATTTTATTTTATTATATGTATTGTTATATTTTTATATAATTGTATATTCTATTTATTGTTATCTTTATTATTATATAATATATTAGGATATTTTATATTTTATATTTTATAAATTAATGTATAGTGTATATTATGTTATATATTATATATATTAATCTCTCCAGTTCTAGAGTTCTAGCCCCAAAATAAAATCCTTTTGTGCCTGGAAATCCATTCCCAGCTGAGGGTCCAGCCTGGCTTTAAGGAGGGCAGGTTTTAGGGTTATCAGGAACAAAAACGCTGCTCCAGGAAGGAAAGGGATCCCAAGGCTTTGTCCAAAGCCAGGCCTTGACCTGGGGGCCGGGATCACACGCGGGGGTGGAAAGGTCCAAAGGATGAGCTCAGCCTAAGGATGGGCTGGGCCAAATGTGAACTGGGCCAAAGGTTGAACTGGGCCTAAGGATGGGCTGGGCCAAAGGTTGAACTGGGCCTAAGGATGGGCTGGGCAAAAGGTTGAGCTGGGCTGAATGATGAGCTGGGCCTAGGGATGAGCTGGGCAAAAGGTTGAGCTGGGCTGAATGATGAGCTGGGCCTAGGGACGAGCTGGGCCTAGGGATGAGCTGGGCAAAAGGTTGAGCTGGGCTGAATGATGAGCTGGGCCTAGGGATGAGCTGGGCAAAAGGTTGAGCTGGGCTGAATGATGGGCTGGGCCTAGGGATGAGCTGGGCATAAGGATGAGCTGGGCCTAAGGATGAGCTGGGCCTAAGGACGAGCTGGGCTCAAGGACGAGCTGGGCTCAAGGACGAGCTGGGCTCAAGGACGAGCTGGGCTCAAGGATGAGCTGGGCATAAGGATGAGCTGGGCCTAGGGATGAGCTGGGCCTAGGGATGAGTTGATCCCAGGCACTCCGGGTCAGGCACTGCCGAGGATGGATCCCCTCAGCCCCTCCAGCCGCTCCCACTGCAGGACAGGACAGGAGAGACTCGGGAGAGGGGGAGCCCTGAGGGGTGCAAAACAAGGAATTCCTTCCCTGGTTTCCAACATTCAGCCCTTCCTGGGGAAGCAGGGATCCAGCACACAGAATTGGGAAGATAAATCCCATCATTCCAAACGTTCTGCTTCCCCTCTGCCCTTCCTGGGAAAGCAGGAATCCACCTCACATTTTTAGGAAAATAAATCCCATCATTCCAAATCGATCCCTCTGCCCTTTCCAAGGAAGCAGGGATCCAGCACACACAGTTGGGAAGATAAATCCCATCATTCCAAATGCTCTGCTTCCCCTCTGCCCTTCCTGGGGAAGCAGGGATCCAGCACACAGTTGGGAAGATAAATCCCATCATTCCAAATGTTCTGCTTCTCCTCTGCCCTTCCCAGGGGAGCAGGAATCCAGCACATAGATTTGGAAAGATAAATCTCAGCATTTAAAATAAATCCCAGCATTCCAAATAAATCCCTCTGCCCTTCATGGGGAAGCAGGGATCCACCTCACATTTTTAGGAAAATAAATCCCATCATTCCAAATAAATCCCTCTGCCCTTCATGGGGAAGCAGGGATCCACCTCACATTTTTAGGAAAATAAATCCCAGCATTCCAAATAAATCCCTCTGCCCTTCCTGGGGAAGCAGGGATTTAGCACATGGATTTGGGATGATAGATCCCATAATTCCACATAAATCCCATCATTCCAAATGCTCTGCTTCCCCTCTGCCCTTCCCAGGGGAGCAGGAATCCAGCACATGGACTTGGAAAGATAAATCTCAGCATTTAAAATAAATCCCAGCATTCCAAATGCTCTGCTTCCCCTCTGCCCTTCCTGGGGAAGCAGGAATCCACCTCACATTTTTAGGAAAATAAATCCCAGCATTCCAAATAAATCCCTCTGCCCTTCCCAAGGAAGCAGGGATCCAGCACATGGATTTGGGATGATAGATCCCATCATTCCAAATAAATCCCAGCATTCCAAATGTTCTGCTTCCCCTCTGCCCTTCATGGGGAAGCAGGGATCCGCCTCACATTTTCAGGAAAATAAATCCCATCATTCCAAATAGATCCCTCTGCCCTTCCTGGGGAAGCAGGAATCCACCTCACATTTTTAGGAAAATAAATCCCATCATTCCAAATCAATCCCTCTGCCCTTTCCAAGGAAGCAGGGATCCAGCACACACAGTTGGGAAGATAAATCCCATAATTCCAAACGTTCTGCTTCCCCTCTGCCCTTCCCAGGGGAGCAGGAATCCAGCACATAGATTTGGAAAGATAAATCTCAGCATTTAAAATAAATCCCAGCATTCCAAATAAATCCCTCTGCCCTTCCTGGGGAACCAGGGATCCAGCACATGGATTTGGGATGATAGATCCCATCATTCCAAATAAATCACATCATTCCAAATGCTCTGCTTCCCCTCTGCCCTTCATGGGGAAGCAGGGATCCACCTCACATTTTCAGGAAAATAAATCCCATCATTCCAAATAGATCCCTCTGCCCTTCCTGGGGAAGCAGGAATCCACCTCACATTTTTAGGAAAATAAATCCCATCATTCCAAATCAATCCCTCTGCCCTTTCCAAGGAAGCAGGGATCCAGCACACAGTTGGGAAGATAAATCCCATAATTCCAAACGTTCTGCTTCCCCTCTGCCCTTCCCAGGGGAGCAGGAATCCAGCACATGGATTTGGGATGATAGATCCCATAATTCCAAATAAATCCCATCATTCCAAACGTTCTGCTTCCCCTCTTCCCCATGAATCCCAGCATTCCAAATAAATCCCTCTGCCCTTCATGGGGAAACAGGGATCCAGCACATGGATTTGGGATGATAGATCCCATCATTCCAAATAAATCCCAGCATTCCAAATAAATCCCTCTGCCCTTCCTGGGGAAGCAGGGATCCAGCACACATTTTTTGGGAAGACAAATGCCACCACTCCAAGTGTTCCTGCTTCCCCTCTGCCCCTCTCAGGTGTGACCCCAGCCTGGAGCTGCCCCAGCCCTGGGACACAGCACGGGGAGGACGTGGAGCTGCTGGAGCCATTCCAGAGGGGCTCAGAGGATGCAGCCCCTGTCCCACGAGGAAAGGCTGGCAGAGATGGGAATGTTCAGCCTGGAGAAGATTTGGGGGGGCCTTGCTGTGGCCCTCCAGTGCCTGGAGGGAGGAAAGTGGGACAGGGACAATTCACAAGGACACAGGGAATGGCTTCCCACCACCAGAGGACAGAGTTAAATGGGATATTGGGAAAGAATTATTGAATTTCCCAGAGAAGCTGTGGCTGCCCCTGGATCCCTGGAAGTGTCCAAGGCCAGGACAAGGCTTGGAGCACCCTGGGGTGGTGGAAGGTGTCCCTGCCCATGGCAGGGGGTGGCACTGGGTGAGCCTTTCCCACCCAAACCATTCCAGGATTCCATGATTTTTCCCCAGTTTTGCAGTGCTGGACATTCCCATGGCCAGGAATATCCCTGGGCTCAGCTGTGTCCCCTCCCAGTCTTGTTTCCTGTCCCACTGGAAGCAGGAAAAGCCTTGAGGTTGTACAACGTTAGAAAAATACTGACAACGTCCTGCTGTAAACAGCCCTGCACTCAGCACAGACAGGTCCTGTGAGCAAAATAAAATATATCTAGGCTCCAGCCCAGCCCAAACCAGCACAATCCCTCCTGGAAATTCAGCTGTGGGAAAAAACATGATATAATTTACAAGATATAAATTAAAATATAGATTGGCCAGAGAATGCCATTCCACGTGCTCTGAGAAATTTGGGATAAAAGATTCAAGGCATCCTCAGTGTTTAAACCCCAAAACCAATTTTTAATTTGCTTTTGTAGCCTGGAGAGGGAGCAGCAGTAGCTCTGTCCCCTCATGGAGGTTTAACCTGGGATGGGACTTTCCAAGATTAGGAAAAAACTGGATTTTATCTATCATTTCAATCTGCTGAGCCAGAGGTTTCTGCTCCAGTTCCTGCTCCAGTTTCCAAGCTGGCAGCCAGATGTGGAGTTTGGAAAGGGAGTTTGGATATGGAGGAGTTTGGATAAGAAGTTTGGATAGGGAGTTTGGATATGGAGGAGTTTGGAAAGGGAGTTTGTATAGGGAGTTTGGATATGGAATTAGGATACAGGGTTTGGATAGGGAGTTTGGATATGGAATTAGGATATGGAGGAGTTTGGATATGGAGGAGTTTGGATAAGAAGTTTGGAAAGGGAGTTTGGATATGGAGGAGTTTGGAAAGGGAGTTTGTGTATGGAGCTTGGATATGGAATTAGGATACAGGGTTTGGATAGGGAGTTTGGATATGGAATTAGGATATGGAGGAGTTTGGATGTGGAATTTGGATATGGAGTTTGGAAAGGGAGTTTAGAAAGGGAGTTTGGATATGGAGTTTGGATAGGGAGTTTGGATATGGAGAAGTTTGGATATGGAGGAGTTTGGATATGGAGTTTGGATATGGAGAAGTTTGGACTGGGAGTTTGGATAGGGAGGAGTTTGGATGTGGAGTTTGGATATGGAGGAGTTTGGATATGGAGTTTGGATATGGAGTTTGGATGTGGAGTTTGGATAGGGAGGAGTTTGGGATGTGATGTGGAGCAGTTTGGGATGTGATGTGGAGCAGTTTGGGATGTGGAGCAGTTTGGGATGTGATGTGGAGCAGTTTGGGGATGTGATGTGGAGCAGTTTGGGATGTGGAGCAGTTTGGGATGTGGAGCAGTTTGGGATGTGGAGCAGTTTGGGATGTGATGTGGAGCAGTTTGGGATGTGATGTAGAGCAGTTTGTTTGGGATGTGGAGCAGTTTGTTTGGGATGTGGAGCAGTTTGGGGATGTGATGTGGAGCAGTTTGGGGATGTGATGTGGAGCAGTTTGGGGATGTGATGTGGAGCAGTTTGGGGATGTGATGTGGAGCAGTTTGGGATGTGATGTGGAGCAGTTTGGGATGTGGAGCAGTTTGGGATGTGATGTAGAGCAGTTTCCTGGGCACGTGATGTGGAGCAGTTTGTTTAGGATGTAGAGCAGTTTCCTGGGGATGTGACGTGGAGCAGTTTGTTTGGGATGTGGAGTTTTGCAAAACCCTCGCTCTCTCCTCCGTCCCACAGCTCCTTTCAAGTTGTGGTTTGAGGGGAGGGAAGGAGGAGGGGAGACAAAGGGAGAGGAGAGCTCTGAGTTCAGACTCTGCATTTACTGGTAATTCTCCTTTGTTTTTAGGGCACTGGGCCGGCAGGGAAGGAGAACAGTTGATTTGACCTTTCCCCTGGCCAGAGGCTGCCTGCTCAGAGGCTGCCTCAGGAAAGGGAGAAAGGATGAAAAATCCACCTGCTTGCCCTGAGTACCCCACAAACCCCAAAAACAAAGCAGGCAAAGGGAGTGAGGACAGAAATCGGAGCACCTCTCACCGCAGAGGGGAAACTGAGGCACAGAGGGGCAGAGTGGCTTGCCCAGGCTTGCCCAAGGAAGGTGCAGCGGGGAATTGAGCTTTGTTCTCATGAAGTTCACAGCTTGCCAAAGCCTTTTTTTTTTTTTTCTTTTTTTTTCTGTTTCAAAGAGGAACTTGGAATTTATGAGCCAAATAATTCGTTGGTCAGGAGGAAGGGGGGGGATGGTAAAAATTATCTTTTGGCCTCAGAGGTCTCCCAGGCACCAAAACAGGCAGGAGGCAGCACAGAACTGAAGGTAAAACTGGATGGTGATGTTCAAAAATAAAACATGAATGGTCATGTACCCAAGCAGCTCCCTGGGCTGTGCTGAGGGTGACAGCCCTGACAGAGACACCTGACAGAGAAGGGGAGATTAGAGCCTCCCACAGCCCCAGTCTTTGGGAGAGCTGGATCAACAAAGGAAAGCTGAGTCAGATGGGATAGGAACGTTTTGAGGGTCTGGATGTCAGGTGAGCCAGAGGAGGAGGTTACCCATTAACCGAGGCTGATAAGGCTCAGATTGCCCAGTCACCCATTTACTGCTCATTGCCTGTGGGAATTTCATGCTCCAGACTCCCTTCTCTCCCCGCCCAGAGGGCAAGAGTTCAGCCAAGCTCCTGCTCCAACCCTCACGCTGGTTTTATTCTCCACTTGCAGCAGAGCTGAGCAAGCCAGGGGAGGATTTAAGATCCCAAAACTGGAGGGTCCCCTCTTCTTCTCAAGGTGCTCAATTTCCCCCCAGTGCTGTGCTGGGTGCAGCCTCCTGGCTCCAGGGGACCCTGGGTGCAGAGGAGCTGTGGGATGAACAGGCTGGGGGTGATAAAGGCTGCAGGTCTGGCCCTGGGAGATAAACACACATCCCTTTCTCACTTGTGGCCAGAGCCTGCCCAAAAGCCCACCTTAAATGAAAACCACAGTGGTTTTCACTTGGGATGGGATGGGAATTCTTGCAGGGAGAGGGAATGATGTGTCTGCCCAGTGTCCCGCTCCTGGGGATGCTGGGGACAGGGAGACCACCCTGACCTCTCTCCACAGCTTTAATCCCACTGAGCTGCCTTTGTACAAATATTCTCCCTGTGGTTTGTCAGCACAGATAACTCGGGGATGGGTTATAAATGGGGAGACTGAGACAGAAAGATAAAACCCTGTGGCTTCCCAGCAGTGTTTGGTGGGAGGAGGATGGGATCCCAGCTCTGGATGCTGAGGGTGGCCTGTCCCTGCTGGGATGGCTGTGGAGCAAACTGGCACGTTCCACTTCCATGTGGAACACATCCCAATTTTTCCTGGCTGAATTCAGGCACAGCAATTCCCTAAAGAGCATCAGGTTGATTTTTCAGAGAGGATGAATCCCTCCCCATCCCATTTGCACATGGATTAGCGTTTAGCTGTAGTCCTAGACTTAAACCGCGTTCTAGTTCTTCTCGAACTGAGAAATGAATCATTCCCTGAAGGCTCCAATGACTTCAGCTGCAGTCAGTGGTGCCCAGAGCACAGAACACATGGTTTTGGTTAAACAAAAGCCATACATACTTTTTGGGACTTGTAATAGAAGCACCCACCCAGGAAACGAGCAGGAAGTTTTTCTCCTCGAAATCCCATTTCAGCTTCATTAATTGTGGCACAGCCAGGCTGAATAACTCCCCATGTCAGGAGCCAACCAGGTGGCCGTGGCTTGTCCTGCCATGAGCACAGGCACCAAGGAGGAGCTGCTTCCCAAATATCCACATCCAGAGCGGATTAGCTGTGATCCCCCTCATCCAGCTGAATGCAAGGAGCCTTCCTGCCCTCCTCCCAGGCCGGGGGCGCTCAGAGCTCCTTGGCGCGATGGAAGCACTGAGCACTTTGTTTGCTGAGCGGTATTTCTATCATGCCTTGGTGCTGGGTGCATTTTTCAGGCTATCTCCTGCAGATTTTCCCTGCCTTCAGGCACTTAAGAAAGCAAACCCAAACCTGCTTTTCTACACCCTCCGATGAGTCACCGGGGAGGTGACAGGAAGGTTACTCACAGGAATTCAGTTCAGTACTAGCAAAACATTAACGAGAGAGAGTTCTCTGTCCCAGAATCCTGATTCTGGAACGATTTGGGTCGGAAGAGACCTGGAAAAGCTCTTCTGGAGACCCTTTAGGTACTGGAAGGGGTTTTGAAGTCTCTGGTTCCTGTCCTTCCTAAAGCTCCTCTACTGCTCCATTCCAACACTGCCACCACAGCTCCACCATCCCAGTAAAACCAAACTTTTCTTGGAATCTCAGTAAAGTCGCTTTTCTTGAAATTATTTTTTCTCACACACACTCCCCTGATTGCGTGCGGCACCAGAGCCGTTTGTGTAAGAGCAGAAAGTCCAAAGATTTAACTTTTACGGTTTTTTTTCCATTTCACCTCGAGTTCTCTCCAGCCAAAAAGAAAAAAAAAACCAAAAAAAAACCCCAAAAAACCCCAAAACTAAACCAAACCAAACAAAAAAAAAAAAAACAAAAACAAACAAACAAACAAAAAAAACCCCAAAAAACCAAAAAAACCCAAAACAAACAACAACAACAACAAAAAAAAAAACCAAAAAAAAAAAAAAAAAAACAAAAAAACAAAAAAAAACCGAAAAAACACCACACAATGGAAAAATACCAACTACGAGAACTTCCCAGCTCTGGGGTCAGATGGCGACTTTTTTGCAAGGCTGCCGTGCCTCTGCGCCTTGAACCTCACCGGAACCCCACGGGATTATCCACTTAACACCCTTTTGTCAGAGCACAAAACCCCGCGGCTCTGCTCTCTCCAGTCCGGTGAGTGATCGGGAAAAAATGCAGGAGTTTAAGCAACACCCGGAGAAATCATTCCCGAGAGCTCCTGTGCGATTCGGCTGTTTCGAAACTTCTTTGGTCGCTTGAGCGGTGAGCGAAAATAACGAGTGGCTAAAAACTGAAAAGAAGGGGAACAGCGAAAGCCAATTCGGCTTCTCGGGCAAACCAAACCGCACACGAGAGTTTAAGCGGTTTTCGATGGAACGAACACGCCAAGTTCGCAGACCAGCGCTGGGTGGGACAGCCCCAGGTCTCAGCCCCTTCGTGCGCCTCGTCCCGCCCAGTCCTATAAAGGCTCAGGCTCGGCACCATTGATTCATTTTCCTCGGCGGCCTGGGGAGAGGCGGTTGTCCCAGAGTGGCGTCCGGACCTTGCCCTCTCCTTTCCCTCTCCGTGCCCGCTCCGTGCCCTCTCCGTTCCTTCTCCGTGACCTCTCCGTGCCCGCTCCGTGCCCTCTCCGTGCCTGCTCCGTTCCCTCTCCGTGACCTCTCCGTGCCCGCTCCGTTCCCTCTCCGTTCCCTCTCTTTTCCCTCTCCTTTCCCCCTCCGTTCCCCCTCCGTTCCCTCTCCGTGCCCGCCGTGAGGAGAAGGGCGCTCCGCTCACCATGCGCTGGCCCCGACGGGGCCGGCTCTGGCCGGCCCTGCTGCTGCTGCTGCTCACGGTCAGTGGGGACGGGGCTCGTGGGGCTGTGGGGACCCTCCGGGAGCGCGGCCGGTGGGGGTCCGGACCCCTGTCGGGGCTGCGCGGTGCTGTCGCGACATGCCCAGACTTGCCGCGCTGTCGAGGGGCTCGGAGCGGCGGAGTGGGACGGGGTGCGGGTGGGAAGGGGGCATGGGGGTGTCCGGGGGGCTGCCCTGGTGAGGCTCGGCCGAGCGGCGGGGGCTGTGTGGACGAGGGGTGCCCCTGGATGGAGGTGAGAGGGGTGGGGTTGCTTGCGGAGAGCGGCGAATGGGCCGCGCCTTTACCTGCGATTGCGGGGGAAGGGCTCGTGTGAGTGGGGTAAACTGAGGCACGGAGGGGCTCAGCTGCTCCGGGGGCCGTGGGGGGGGCTGGGCCGCTCACTTGGTCTGGAAGCGACGGGGAAAACGGGGCCGGTGGGGCTCACCTGGCCCGGGGGATGGAGGGGTGGAGGCCATGGGGCCAGGGGGGTTCGGATGGGCAGGGGAAGAACAGGGGGGTTCGGATGGGCAGGGGAGGAACAGGGGAGTTTGGATGGGCCGGCGGACCGGGGGAGTTCGGATGGACAGGCGGAGCAGGGGGGTTCGGATGGGCAGGGGAGGAACAGCGGGGTTCGGATGGGCCGGCGGACCGGGGGAGTTCGGATGGACAGGCGGAGCAGGGGGTTTCGGATGGACAGGCGGACCAGGGGGGTTCAGATGGACAGGCGGACCCGGGGGGTTCGGACGGACAGGTGGACCAGGGGGGTTCAGATGGGTCGGCGAGGACGAGAAGGGTTCGGATGGGCCGGCAGACGAGGGGGGTTCGGATGGACAGGCGGACCAGGAGGGTTCGGATGGGCCGGCAGACGAGGGGGGTTCGGATGGGCCGGCGGACCCGGGGCTTCACCTGGGCACGGCACAGCGGGTTCGGGGTACCGGGAGGACGCGAGGCTGCGGCCGGGAGTGGGGTGGGGGGGGATGCCAGAGCTTGGACGGGGAATTTTTTCGGTGGGAAAAGCGATCTCAGCCTCCCGGCTCCGAGCACATGGCGCCGGGGGGACTGTGACGGTGATAAAAGGCGGCAAACTGGACCTGACTCTGACTGCCGAGGAGGGAAGGGGATTTTCGCTCCCAAGCCGTGTTTGTCATTCCGTGCTGGCATCTGGTGACAGCGCCTACACCCCTTTGGGATGTTTTAACACAAGGAATGCTCCCGGAGCAGGAATGCAACTTGCCCAAACGATGTCCAAACCCTCAGCGCAGGGATTTAGGACACAAAATTCCACCTGGGCATATCATATTTCCCCGTGGACTGGATGTTGTAGAGCTGGAGAATACCTGAACTCTGTTGTCACTTGAAGTCAGGAGGATCCTGAGTTCTATCCCAGAGATCCTGCCCTGACTTGTATGCCAGGGCTGGCCTGTAACTCACGGCAGTGGAGGAGCACATGAGCACTGCTCCCAGGCTGGAATTACATCAGCGCTGCCCCAAACAGGTTTTCAGAGAGAGCTTCTCATCCAATTCATTCCCTGCATTGCTCAGCAGAGTTTATTTAGACTGGCCTGGTAAAGTCAAGCCTTAAACCCACTGCCTAAGGGCACTCCGGTAAAGGCCTCAGGGATTTTTTAATTTTTTTATCCCATTTTTCGTATGAGGGATGGGGAGCTGCTCGGTGGTGATTCACATGGCATGGTCCGATATTGCGTCATGTCCTCTCTCTTGCCTCATGGCTGGACACAGGCCATTTCTGAGGATGGAGCTCACATTCTGCTGGCTTTGCGGGAATTCCAGGGGGAAATCCCACCCTGTGTCCTTGGAGCAGGTGACTCAGGTGCCTGCCTGGCACCGCTTTTATCCCGGTTCTCTTGCTGCCTTCAGAGGCTCTGGGTGTGTTTCATCCTCTTTCATCTCCTGCAGCCAGGGCTGCAGGGTCCAACTCCTTTTGGGATCACCTCAGGAGAAAAACAAATCGGGGATGGAAGCAGGGGAAGTTCAAAGTTTGATGCTTTCCCGAGCTTTTTCTCCAGACTTGATCCCCCAAAGAGGAAGAGCTGATGAAGGGTTCCTGTGCCTCTAATTCTTCTGCCTCCAGTTGTTTACTGTGGGTGAAAACTCCTCAAACCCACCGTGCTGGGTTCTCCAACTGACAGTTTGGTCAGGGATGGCAGCAGGGTGCTGCGGGCTGATAACCTTATCGTGCACGTGTTGTGTTCTCTGTAAATGTGAAAAACGCCAATCTCTTGGTTTTGGAATTTTAAAAGTTTAATAGTAATAAAATGGTTATAAAAACAGTAATACAATTAGAGTGATAATAATTTGGACAATTTGAATTAGGACAATATGAGACAATAGAGACAAAGTTATGGACAGTCCAGGTACCTTTTTCTGGGCAGCACGAGCCCGAAAAAGGACCCCCGTTAACAAAGGATTAAACCTTAAAAACAATAACCTGTTGCTTATTCATACACTTCATTCATGATGCATAAATTCCATTCGAACACAGGATTCTTTCTGGTCATCGTCATCTTCTTTCTCTTAATCCTTAATGGTGGCGTCTTCGAGGTGGGAAGAAGTTCGTTTCTTCTGATAAGAGGGCAATAAATTCTTTTTCTCTGAAAGATTCAGGTGTCCTGTGGCTGCTGTTTTGCTTCAAGTCCTTTCTTTAAAAAAAGTATCTTACTATCTTTTCTTTAAAAAGAACTATTTTTTCTTTTAAAAAACTCTCCCATAGCACAGTTTCTATTTTAACATTTTTTATAACCTAAAACTATATTGAACACACTACTTAAGAGAATTAACACAGCATTACTTTCTAACACAATGTATATAATATTCATTATAATATTTGCAAAAAGCCAATCATAAAATATGCATTTTTCACAGTAAAGAAATGAAATCCTGTGGCTGAGGGGCCCTCCCAAACTGCAGAAAATGCTGTGGTGTCGCTATGATCACCCTCACAGCATGGCAGAGTTCGGGTGGGGAAGAAATGTGGATTTTTTTTTCCCCATGGAAGGGGGACAAATTGTCCCTTCACCAGAATGGGTGAAGCTGTTGTGGCTGGAGCTCCTCAAGTGGATAAAAGATTTTACAAACTTGCAGCCGTTCCTAGCTGGAGCAAAGGGGAGCAAAGGCAGATCCAGTAGAGCCAGAAGGTGTTGGAGGGACATGGATTTGATCCCTCTGAGTCAGGGTCAGGAGCTGGCCCCGATCCTGGCCAGGGCTCGGGGGTTCTGTGGCCTGGTCGTGGTGGGTGTTTGTCCTTGCCATGGCCCTGATGCCTTAAGTTTTAGCTTTCATATTTTTCAGATTCTGTGCTGCCTAGGTGTGCAGCTCTGAGCTTCATATTCAGTGTGGTGAGCTCTCTCCACAGAGCAGCTAGACAAAACAATTCCTTTTCTAGCCTGGGGCCAAGGACAACCGATACAAGTTGCAGGCCCAAAAGCATAAACAATGGTGAACTGAGAGAAAAACAGGAAGGATGGGACTTTTTAACGTAAAGATATAATTGGACAATTAACTCCACTATGCTAATGGACCAAAACTTATAAAAGTGAGAGACCTCATGGCTGGCCGTCCATTTTGTGACCATTTTGCTCCATCTTGGGTGCAGCCCTGGCTGGGCTCTTGTGTTGCCCAAGGTGGATCCATTGAGGAGATCCTTTTTATAAATCCCTGCTTTATTTTTCTTGTGGGATCTCAGCACATCGTTCCCGATGTCCAGAGATGCCAGGAGAACCCTTGGGGGTCTCGAAAATCCTGGAATTTTGCCAAGAGTGTTTGGTGGCTTGATTTTGATCCATCCACAGAAGTAACAAGAGTTTGAGGACAAGAGAATCACTTTAGAGTAAAAGGTGTAAAAGAGACACATTTAGAGGGTGAGATACAGACTTTAAGGTTTTTGGTACAGGGGGGTTATGGAGACAAGATGGAGGGATCAGGGCGTGTCTCGTCCTTCTTCTTTCTTCTTCTTGTCCTCCATCTCCTGTGGTGATGTTGGCACTTGGGGATTGGTTTATGGTGAAGGTGCACTTGCTAACATGGGTGAAAAGCACTGGGAAATAAAGGTAAATATAGTGTACGTAGATTTTAGTATAAAAAGACATGACCGCCCCATGGGTGGTCAGAGAGTGCCTGTGACTGCTTGCAGATCAGACCTCTGTTGGGCAGACAGAAAATTTTGTAGATAAGAAACAATAAACAATCAGAAGACCGAAAAGCTGAAGAGTCCAGACTCATCCTTTGAATCGCATGCCACCCAAGAACCACCGTACCCGTGTCAGGGCAGAGACAGACAGACAGACAGACCCGACATTTTCTGTCCAGCCTCTGCTCTAGGCCGGCCTTCCCAAGGCACGGGCCTGGCTGGTGTCACCATCACGCAGCCCCGTGACCATTCCTGACCTGCTGGAGCCACTTCTGCCTTTTCCTGTGGCGGGAAGCTCCGGAGGAGGAGTTTGCAAACTCCATTGTTTTGCTGTTCTAGGCAGCTTCTGACTCATGGCAGAGATATTTGCTTTAACTTCACCCTTCGTGTTGGGGAGGGGATGGGAGGGAAGTGTCTCCTGCAGCCCGTGAGGCTGTGACATGTTTGTCCCTGCCGCCCCGGTGAGCTAGGGGCAGCTTTATACCCATGGATATGCAGCTTTTTATCCATGGATATCCATGGAGCAGCTCTGTGCTGGCTCAGAGGCCGATGGGGTTGTCCCCATTGGGGACATTGAGGTGCCCAAAAGCCCCCAAAGCCTAAGGGGACAAACGGCCATTCCTGCTGAGCATCGACCCTGAGGCGCCGCCTTCCAGCCTTGACACGGGGCTGTTTCCTGCCACAAACCCTTCCTCTTCCCGGCTCTCCCCTTCCACTGGGGCTCTTGGTGCACTCAGAAACTGGGGCAGGAAAAGGGTCCTTCTCAGAAACTGGGGAAGAAAAGGGTCCTTCTCAGAAATTGGGAAGGAAAAGGGTCATTCTCAGAAATTGGGAAGGAAAGGGGTCGTTCTCAGAAATTGGGAAGAAAAGGGTCGTTCTCAGAAATTGGGGATGAAAAGGGTCTTTCTCAGAAATTGGGAAGGAAAGGGGTCGTTAGCGACTCTTTGCCCAGCTGATAACCTGGCAGGCAGAATTCCCCTGCAAGCCTCCAGATCTCTTCTTGGCTTTGCCAAGGAAAAACTGGTCCTGTTTTGTGGGGAGTGCCTTTGGCTGAGGTGGCTCTGAGCCGTCCCAAAGCTCCTCTCCTGCTTCACTGGGCACAGCAACTCTCACCTTGCTCTTTCTCCCCTTGCCCAATGGATTGGAGTGGTTTTTAACCCGAGGTTTTCTGTACTTTTTAACAGGCAGCCCCTTGGGAAGCCAGTGCTGTCACCCTGAGGAAGAGGGACAGCTTTGATTCCCTGGATCTGGTCTGGAGAGGGGAAGATGATTACTACAGGAAAAGCAATGGTGTCTATTGCAAGAAGTGCCCTGCAGGTGAGATGGTCTCAGCACTGATCCCACCTCTGCAGCCTCTCCGTGCTCCTGTTCCTGTCCTCGCTCCTCCTGAGGGGCAGCAGGGCTCCAGCTCTGCCCTGCTCCACTGTCATGGATCTAAGCACTCATTTTGGGAATATTTTCCTTTTCTTGGCTCATTTGCCTCTGAGCTTTGCTGGTGGTGAAATCACAGAATCCTTCAGGTTGGAAAAGCCCTCCAAGGCCACCAAATCCAACCTGTGCCCACTCCCCACCTTGGCACTGAGTGCCATGTCCAGCCCTTCCTGGGGCACCTCCTGGGGCACTCCAGCCCTCCCTGGGCAGTGCCAAGCCCTGAGCCCCCTTTCCATGGGGAAATTCCTGCAGTGCCCACCCTGAGCCTGCCCTGGCCCAGCCTGAGGCCGTTCCCTCTGCTCCTGTCCCTGTTCCCTGGAGCACAGCCCGGCCCCCCCGGCTGTGCCCTCCTGGCAGGAGCTGTGCAGAGCCACAAGGGCCCCCTGAGCCTCCTTTGCTCCAGGCTGAGCCCCTGCCCAGCTCCCTCAGCCTCTCCTGGGGCTCCAGGCCCTTCCCTGTGTGTTCAGAGTTTCCCTTTCTCTTCAGGCACCTACCTTACCAAGGAGTGTGAGGAGCAGGGAGGCTCCAGCACGTGTGAGCCCTGTGGACTCGGGGAATACATGGAATATCCCAACGCCTTCCTGTCGTGCCAGGAGTGCTCCAAGTGCAGGGAAGGTACGAGCTGGGGGGAGCAGGGCTGGTGGCTCAGGCTGGGCCCAGCTGAGCTCCCTCAGAGCTCAGTGTCACCTGCAGTGTCCCCAGAGAGTGGCTGGGGCTGCCACATCTGTTAAAGGCCGCATCCCTCGTGCAAAGCTTGGGCTGAGACTCCACACAGAGCAGGAGGATGAGGCTCCCAGCAGCACTGGCAGCTGCTGGTGGAGTTTGATCCAGGCACTGCTTTTCCCTTGTGGGGCAGGAAAAGGTGGCACTCAACAGCAGGGAGGGACCTGGTCCTGCCCGGGGCTGGGAGCGGAGGAGCCAGGGTGGAGCTGTGTCCCCTCTGTCCCACAGATCAGGTGGAGCTGAGTCCCTGCCAGCCCCAGAGGAACACGGTGTGTGCCTGCAGGAACGGCACCTTCTGCCCCCCGGAGCACCCCTGTGAGATGTGCCAGAAGTGCAAGCCCAGGTGGGTCTGGGGCCGTGGTGGCTCCTGTGGGGTTTGTGCTGCTGAGCCACAGCTGCTGAGCCCGCCCTGTGTCCCCTCTCCCAGGTGTCCCGAGGACCAAGTGATGCTGAAACCCTGCACGCCTTACAGTGACCTCCAGTGCGGTCCTAACATGGCCACGTTCCCCTCCTGTGAGTGGGGCAGCTGGGGGAGGCTGAGGGGTGGGGTGGGAGCTGCTGCTGAGGCTGAAGCAGGAGCAGCTGCTCATACCTTGTTTTATCTGCTTCAGACCTCATGGGCAGCATCATTGCAGGGATGGTTGTGATAGCTGGGATCATGAGTGGGATTGCTTTCTGCTGCTGCAAACGCCACTGCAGCTCCTCAGGTGAGTGCACAGGACCCCTGGAGCACCCACCTTGGCCAGGGGCTCTAAACTGGTGTGGGCTGGGTGGGAAGAGAGACCCCAGGAGCACCCACCTGGTGTGGGCTGGGTGGGAACGGAAACCCCAGGAGCACCCACCTGGTGTGGGCTGGGTGGGAACGGAAACCCCAGGAGCACCCACCTGGTGTGGGCTGGGTGGGGAGACCTTGGGAGCACCCACCTGGTGTGGGCAGAGTGGGAAGAGAAACCTGGGGAACACCCACCTGGGGTGGGCTGGGTGGGAAGAGAGACCTTGGGAACACCCACCTGGTGTGGGCAGAGGGACCCCGGGAGCACCCACCTGGTGTGGGCAGAGTGGGAACAGAGAGCCCAGGAACACCCACCTGGTGTGGGCAGAGTGGGAACAGAGAGCCCAGGAGCACCCACTTGGTGTGGGCAGAGTGGGAACAGAGAGCCCAGGAACACCCACCTGGTGTGGGCAGAGTGGGAAGAGGGTCCTGCCTGAGGGAAGAGGGATCACAGCGCTCTTTCCATCTTCCAGGGAGATCCTCGAGCCAGAAGCCCTATGAAATTGTGAGTTCCTGGGATGGCAGGGGGGAATGGCTCTGTTTGTGGGCTGGGGTAATGTCCCCCGTTCCCTCTGCTTCCCACTTGGCCAGCAGCTTCTGGGAAGGCTGGAGGAGCAGAGGATGAGTTTCATCCGGATGGGAAGGCTGGAGGAGCAGAGGGATGAGTTTCATCCGGATGGGAAGGCTGGAGGAGCAGGGAGATGAGTCTCACCCAGAAGTTTCTGGAAGGCTGGAGGAACTGGGGGATGAGTTTCATCCGGTTGGAAAGGCTGGAGGAGCAGGGGATGAGTCTCACCCAGCAGTTCCTGGGAAGGCTGGAGGAGCAGGGAGATGAGTCTCACCCAGAAGTTTCTGGAAGGCCAGAGGAGCAGGGGATGAGTTTCATCTGGTTGGAAAGGCTGGAGGAGCAGGGGATGAGTCTCACTCAGCAGTTTCTGGTAGGCCAGAGGAGCAGGGGATGAGTTTCATCCAGCTGGAGGGGCAGGGAGATGAGTTTCATTCGGTTGGAAAGGCTGGAGGAGCAGGGGATGAGTCTCACCCAGCAGTTCCTGGGAAGGCTGGAGGAGCAGAGAGATGAGTCTCACCCAGAAGTTTCTGGAAGGCTGGAGGAACTGGGGGATGAGTTTCATCTGGTTGGAAAGGCTGGAGGAGCAGGGGATGAGTCTCACCCAGCAGTTCCTGGGAAGGCTGGAGGAGCAGAGGGATGAGTTTTATCCAGCTGGAGGGGCAGGGAGATGAGTTTCATCCAGGTAGGAAGGCTGGAGGAGCAGGGGATGAGTCTCACCCAGCAGTTCCTGGGAAGGTTGGAGGAGCTGGGGGATGAGTCTCACCCAGCAGTTTCTGGTAGGCCAGAGGAGCAGGGGATGAATTTCATCCGGTTGGAAAGGCTGGAGGAGCAGGGGATGAGTCTCACCCAGCAGTTCTGGGAAGGCTGGAGGAGCAGGGGACGAGGGTCATCCCTGCAGGGCTGTGGTAGAACTGGGCCAAGCAGAGGAGGCTCTCTGGTGGTGCTCTGGGTGCTTCCAGCCCCCTCCTCAGTGCCATTGACACTTTCCTGGTGGCAGTGCTGGCACATCCAGGGTCCACAGTGGAGATCCCAGGGTAGGGGTGGGCTGTGCTCGCCCAGAGCTCCTCCAAGCTCAGGATCCATGCCCTGGGATCCATGGAAGGTTCCTGCCTTCCCAAACCACCACAGTTTGTGTTTCTCCCTTGCCGCTGAACTCCAGTTTCAGAAGCTGCTGTGGTGCAAGACAGAGAACGTGGGGACAGGTGACAACGACCCCAACAAGCAGCAGACAGAGAGGGAAAGGGCACCAGAGAGACAGGTACGTGAGTGGCACCCCCTGCCCCAGCGTGCCAGGCCAAGATCTGAACATCCTGGGGGGCTTCCAGGGCTGGGCTGCTCAGGGAGATGGTGAAGGGTCTCCTTGTGGGGTCAGGATGGCAAAATCTGCTCGTGGCAGTCGAGAGAGTCCTCGGAGGATTTAACGCTGATGCTGAGCAAACACAGCTCTGGTCTCCCCATCTCAGGGGCTGCTGCCATTGCAGAGAGGAAACATGGATGTCCTGGGCATGGGTGTGATCAGACATGGATGTCCTGGGCATGGGTGTGATCAGACATGGATGTCCTGGGGCTGGGTGTGATCAGACATGGATGTCCCGGGGCTGATCAGACATGGATGTCCCGGGGCTGATCAGACATGGATGTCCCAGGGCTGATCAGACATGGATGTCCTGGGGCTGATCAGACATGGATGTCCTGGGCATGGGTAGTGATCTCCTGCCCCAACAGCCCTGGGACAGAGGGAGAGGGTCTCCAATCCCCATTAGTCACACATTGCTGCTGGGGCTTGGTGGGTGCTGTAGGACACTGTCATCGCAGGAGTGACATTGTCATTGCAGGTGATGCTGCCAAGTCAGAGAGAGAGACCCTGCAGGACTCTGGTTCCAGCACCAGGGACTGATCCCAGTCGAGGTGAGTGCTGGGGCCCAGGGGAAATGCTGGGGCTGGGATTGCTGTCCCTGCTGCCCGTGCTCTGAGCTGTCCCTTTGCCCCTCCAGCGCTGCAGAGCTGCTTTTACACCTTTGGGCAGAAGGTGCCCAAAGCCTACTGGAAGAGATTTGGCCGCAGCCTGAACCTGGAGGACAATGACATCACCATGGACCAGTCCCTGGATGAATTTTACAACATGATGTGCAGGTGGCAGAACAAGGAGGGCTTCAAGGCCTCTGTGAACACCCTGCTGGAGACCCTGGTGCGCCTCAGCCTCAGGGGGGTGGCAGAGGCCCTCAGTGAGGCGCTGGTCCAGGAGGGACATTTTCAGTACGAAACGAGCTGAAGGAGCAGGGCACACGCTCTGCACATGTGAAAGACTCAGAACAGTTGGCTTGTAGCCGTTTGTAGCTGTCCTGTGCTCCTCTGCTTTTGAAGCCATCACGAGTTCAGCTGAGCCAGGAGGAGCTGGTCCTCATGTGAAGCACAAGCCTCAGGCTCTCTCTGCTGGAGTTACAGGTTCGATGTTCTCGTGGAATCCAAGCTGGTTTCTTGATTTCACTGGGTCAACACCAAGAGATTTAAATAATTTCAATCTGCCTTGGACCAGCTATCTTGGAAGTATTGGTACTACCCAGATTTCTTTGGGTGCAGAGAAGGGTTTTTGGCAAACCCGGTGCTTTTGAACTGGATCAACCTTGATTTTCAAAGGATTCCTGGCATCAAGAAATGGCTTCTGCTTCTAGAACATCTCTAAGTAAGCTTCATTCTGCATGCTTGGTGGTTCTGCAAGCTCAGCTGGGGTCTTGGGCTGCTGTTGGTGACCTAAATTTTTAGGTTTTGTTTTTGGATTTTGTTTTGTTTTTATTTTTGTTTTTTGTTTACATGGTTCTGCTTGTTCTTAGGAGCCAGTTTAAAACTGCACTTGGAGGGGACAGAGGGAATGATTGATTTGCACAATGGACACTGGGGTTGCCTGGGGAAAGGGACAATGCAGGGGTCAGCCAGCCCAGCCCCTGCCAGGACCAAGGACATCTTCCTCCCCATGAGGCTGCTCCAAGCCCCGTCCAGCCTGACCTTGAGTGATTGCCAGGATGGGGCAGCTTATCTGGGCAGCCTTTACTCAGCCCTTATTTTGAAGGGCTTTTTTGTATAATCTAATATAATGTGAATTTCATTTGGTTTAAAGCTAGTCCCATGTCCTGGCACTCCAGGCCCCTGTGCAGCTCTCCTGGAGCCCTTTTAGGTACTGGAAGGGGCTTGAAGTAGTCCCAGAGCCTTCTCTTCTCCAGGCTGGACAATCCCAGCTCTTCCAGCCTGGCTCCAGAGGGGTTCCAGCCCTCGGACCAGCTCCGTGGCCTCCTCTGGATTTGCTCCAGGACTTCCACATCCTTGTGGAGGCCCCAGAGCTGCAGGTGGGGTCTCCCCAGAGCTGAGGAGAAGGGGAAAATCCAGGTTAGCCCCATGGCCATGGGGTGGCTCTGCTGTCCCTCAGCGTGGAGGGGTGAATGCACAGAGTGTGTGTGTGACTGTGATACCTCCTGCCCATCCCAGGGCAACTTCTCAAGCACTGCACCTCACACAGAGATCAGGGACAACCTAGCTGAGAAAACAGCTGGGAAAACTACTGCTTTACTTGAGCTGCCACCCCAGCCCAACCCAGTACATTACATGTATGGTGGGAGGGTGCTGAGCACCCTCCCTGCTGCTCCCATTCCCCCACCCTCCAATAAGACAAGCAGAACTTTTGTACGTATTTATTTAGTAATCGTAAACTTTACATATATTAACTTAAAAGCTTTATAAAAATATTGTTTTTGTTATGCATGGTTGTGTGTTTTATACAGAGCTCTGGCCCAGCCAGTCTGCGTCTCCAGTTTTTTACATTTCTGTTTATGAAGGTTTAATTTAAAAAAAAAAAAAAATCTTCCTGATTTTCTCGTCTGGTTTGATTTGTTTTCCCCCCAGAACTCTGGTGAGGGGTCTCAATGGCCACCAAGGTCCAGGGTCCCAGTGGACACCAGTTGCTCCACGTGGCACTGAGGACTCAGCCCATGGAATTAATGCTCAGCCACCCCACCAGGAATGGTCCCACCAGTCCCCAAGGGTCCTTTGTGCCAGGGAAAGCCCTCAGCAGCCATCCTGGCCTTTCTTTACCCCAGACCAGAGCTCCGTGCCAGAGCAGGGGGTGCCACCGTCCCTGTGCCATCGAGGGCTCCGGCGCCACCAGCCAGGGCTCTGTGTGTTGCAGTAGCTGTGTTGCAAATCCATGCAGTGCTTAGTGACAAAAGGGCTCTGCTCAGCCCCCCAAAACGCCCCTGCAGCTGCTCCCCAGCCCCTGCACTGCACAGGGGCCGTTCAGGAGCGTGGGGCTGGGGTGAAAAGCAGGAGCTGCTGTTGAGCTGCCCGGAGGGGAGGGTTCGTGCCCAGGGGCCCCTCCTGGGCATTGCCCTGTGCCCCTGAGCATGCAGGCCTGGGCACATGCAGGCTTCAGCGCCAGGGCTCGGGTCCTGGCCTGGGCAAGGCAAACAGGACTCAGAAGCAGCGGTGAGTGCCCAGGTTGTGTGAAAAGGAGAGGAAGTTGTGGTCCTACCTGCTCACAACACCGAGGGTGAGGAGCCACCTGGCTCCTGCAGCGAGGCTGAGGGCGGCCATGCACAGGGGGAGGCTCCAGGGGCCAGAGGAGCAGTGTGGGGTGGGAGCCACCAGGAGCATCCCTGGGTGCTCCTCCAGCAGCAGCCTCTGCAGGGATGGGCTCCAAGGAGCTTTCCCCATCCCAGCTGGGGAGGGTGAGGAGGTTTGGGTGCCTCCTGCCCTGCCTGGCAGCCCTGCAGGGACACAGGTGGGACAGGCAGAGTCAGTCCGATGGAAAAGCCACCTGGTGTTGTAGCAGGGGTGGGTCCTGCCAGGCCTGGCTGTCCCTGCCCGTCCCAGGAGCGCTGGAAGGGGGGGATGGCATCACCCCAGCCTGGCACAGGGATGTGCCTGTCCAGCTGCTCCTCCCACACACACAGGGACCACGCCGGGCTTTTAAAATACCATTTATTACAATGGAGCCTTCCAGGCTAAAATCCCCAGCCCAGGGCTCAGGGTTGGTTTCTGGTGTGGCAGATTGAGGGAGTGGGTTTGGGTTTGGGGCTTTTTTTTTTGCTTTAAGTTTCTGTCTAAACAAAACTGAAGAGTTAAGAACAGGGAGGAGAGGACTCTGGTCCTCTCCATGCCCTGAATTAGGACAAACCCCACTTGTAGGGGAAATCCTGCAGTGCCTGGAGGCATTTGGGGGCCAGGGTCCCCTGCCCTGTGCCTGACCCTGCTGCGAGTCCAAGGGGGTGGCAGGACCCCCACGGTGGCTCCAGGTGGTGAGATGCCATCAGACACCCAAACCACATCCCAGAGCTTCTGGTTCCAAATCCAAGTGGAAGCTGGATGTGTTTCTTCTTCTTCTTCATCTTCTTCTTCCTCGTGCTGATGATGTTCCAAAAAACAAAACCAATTTCCAACGAAAATTCCACACGAAATGAAACCACAGCACAGCCCTGGTGCTCCTGTAAACGCGAGTTCCTCCTGCTGCTCGGGCTCTGCCGGTCCCGCCGCGGGGAGAGCAGGGCTGAGCCCCTCCCCAGCGGCCGCCCCTCTGCTCTGCTGCGGGGCCGCTGCTCCGCCGCTGGGGCAGGGCATCCCGCCCTTCCTCCTCCTCCTCCTCCTCCTCCTCCTCCCCGTCTCCTCCCAGGGCAAGGACGGGGCTTTCAAACCACAGCCGAGGAGGAGGAGGAGGAGGAGGAAGAGGAGGCTGTGGCTGCCGACGATGAAGGAGAGGAAGAAGGGGAGGAGGAGGCGTTCCAGAAGAGCCAGCGCCTCTTGGGCTGCCGTTTGAGGTGGAGGTAGTCTTCCTTCTCCCGCTCCTTCTTCGCCCGCTGGTAGTGATCCTCCTCCTTCAGGTACCACACCGGCGGCCAGCGGTGCTTCTCGAAGTACTCCTGGTTCTCTGCGGGCACACGGGGGCGTGAGGGCGGTGCCGGCACCGCAGGGACCCCCCTGTCACCTCCCCCTGGCTGCCACTCACCTCCCGACATGGCCTTCATGTCGCGGGGGAACTTGCGGCAGACGTTGTTGTAGTTGGTGCAGATGTGGTGCAGGCACCAGTCGGCGAGCTGGTAGGCGCAGTGGAACTGGGGAGGGACGGGACACCAGCTCAGGGCCACCGGGAACGGCCAGCACCAGGGCTTCACCTCATTGCTCCATGGACATCCAAGGCCAGACCTGGCTGTCCAGCTCCTGGAGCTGCCAGACCCCTCTGTGTCACCTCTGCCCTGCCAGACCCCTCTGTGTCACCTCCTGCTCTTCCAGACCCCTCTGTGTCACCTCTGCCCTGCCAGACCCCTCTGTGTCACCTCTGCCCTGCCAGACCCCTCTGTGTGTCACCTCCTGCCCTGCCAGACCCCTCTGTGTCACCTCCTGGAGCTGCCAGACCCCTCTGTGTGTCACCTCCTGCCCTGCCAGACCCCTCTGTGTCACCTCCTGGAGCTGCCAGACCCCTCTGTGTGTCACCTCCAGCCCTGCCAGACCCCTCTGAGTCACCTCCTGGAGCTGCCAGACCCCTCTGTGTCACCCCCAGCCCTGCCAGACCCCTCTGTGTGTCACTTCTTGCCCTGCCAGATCCCTCTCTGTGCCACCTCCTGCTCTTCCAGACCCCTCTCTCTATCACCGCAGCCCTGCCAGACCCCTCTGTGTCACCTCTGCCCTGCCAGACCCCTCTGTGTGTCACCTGGAGCACCTCTTGCCCTGTCAAACCCCTCTCTGTGTCACCTCCTGCTCTTCCAGACCCCTCTCTGTATCACCCCCAGCCCTCCCAGACCCCTCTGTGTGTCACTCCTTGCCCTGCCAGACCCCTCTGAGTGTCACCTCCTGCCCTGCCAGATCCCTCTGTGTGTCACTTCTTGCCCTGCCAGACCCCTCTGTGTGCCACCTGGAGCACCCCCAGCCCTGCCAGACCCCTCTGAGTGTCACCCCCAGCCCTCCCAGACACCTCTGTGTGTCACCCCCAGCCCTGCCAGACCCCTCTGAGTCACCTGGAGCACCCCCAGCCCTGCAGCACAGGCTCCTGTCCTACCTGAGCCAGCTCCAGGAACACGAGCACGTCCCCATCGATGTCCACCATCATCTGCGCCGCCTCCATCAGCCCGGTGACCGTGTACTGCTCTGCACAGGGGGACACACACGGGCTCAGGGGTGGCTGGGACGGGGTGACAGCCACCCTGCCGTGCTGCAGCCACCCAGACTCACCTGTGAGAGCCACCAGGTGCGGCAGGCAGAGGCGGTTGGCGAGGATGATGAGCTTCATGTCGTCCAGGTCGGGGCTGGAGCTGAACTGCCCCGTGTACAGGTACTCCAGCACCGCCCGCATGCAGCTCTTGCTGGTGTGAGGGAGTGCCACCTGCCAGACGCACACATTGTCACCTCCTGGCCGTGTCCCCAGCCCTGCCACCCTCCCAGGGGGCTCTCCTCACCTCGTTGGTGGAGCTCTCCACGAAGGGGCCGCCGAACATCGCGGCCATCCAGTCGCAGCTGGAGATGAGCAGGGGCTTGTGGGCACTGATAGCACCATCATCCAGCACGAAGGTGACATCTGGGGACAAGCACAGGGGCGCTGCTGGGACCTGGGGCTCAGCCACAAAACACCTCACCCCAAGGAAAGCAGAGGGAAGGGGACAGATTCTGCCATATCCTCTATTTTTCCCTAAAATATCGCTCATTTTGATCCAGCATTCCCTGCCAGCCCAGAGGAGCTCAGGGGAGAGCCTCAGCAGGCTCTGCCTGTTCCAAGGGTGTTCCCAGGTCACCCCACAGCACATTTGCCACATTTGCTAGCAAGGAAATGTGACACCTAAACCTGAGTCCTTGGAGAGCTGGGAAGGAGAATGGGGATCTCCTGCCTCGCTCTCTGCAGCTTCTCCCAGGGGTGTGCAAGGCCAGCACACATCTGTCCCTGACAGGGACAGCCTGACCATATTAGGATCCATCTCCACGAAACAAATCCAGCCAGAGGGAGGCTGGGACATTCACGTCCCCCTGGGATGTCACCTCGTGCTGGTGGCTCGTGGTGCTCGCTGGAAAGCTGGGGAAATCGTACTAAGGGCACTTGCCCCTCATAAATCAGGATGACCCTGTGAAATCCGGGCCGGGAGAGGAGGAAGTCGCCTTTGCAGCTCTTCCATAAATAAACAGAGCTGCTGGACCAACTGAGGAGCAGGAAACCCTGGGGAAGGGCTTCACACTCACTTTCTGAGGGAAAAAAAAGGCGATAAAAATCCCCACACAGCAAAGTGTGACCAAAAACCCTGGGGGAGGCACAGCCACCCCCTCACACACGGAGCAAAGCCAGGAGCTCTGAGCCCCCACCCGCCCTGTGAGCCCCCAAAAAGGACCAGGCTGCTGCTCCTGGGGCCATACCCGAGAAAGTCCCCTTGGCCAGGCATTCCTTCACCCGGTTGGTCCTCCGGACGTGGAAGGCTTTGGTGATCTCCTGGTTCATGAACGCCTCGTTGTTGAGGATGTTGGCCACCATCATGCGCAGGTCGAACACCTCCAGCAGCTCGGCGATGTGAGCGATGTGCATCAGGTCCCGCTCGTTCTCGTCCAGCTCGCCCGTGTACAGGTACTTCAGCACGGCCCGGAAAGGCCCCGGCTGGATGGACGCGTCCATCTTCACCACCACCATCAGCTTGGACTTGTAGGTCAGCGGGTCCTCGGCCATCTCCTCCTGGATGCTGGTGAAGGCCCTGCTCCACGAGGAGAGGTTCCGGCCGCGCCGCAGCCCGCGCTCGCCGTTCTCGTAGCGGTCGCCCCGCAGGATCCCGTCACTGGTGGAGGCTCTAAGGCACGGTTTGCGCTGGCCGGGTCCGGCCTCCTCGGCGCTCTCGCAGATGTCGAAGCTGGCGGCCCTGAGGAGGAAATCCCGCCCGTGGTGCCTCTCCTCCTGGTGCAGCATCCGCTCGGCGGCCGCCGTGACGGCCGCCCCGAAGCCATGCCCCGCGCTGCTCTGCTGGTCCTCCTCGCTCAGGTCCATGAGGAACAGGTCGTAAAACTTGGAGGAGGAGGTGGAGAGGTAGATCTTGTGTGCGTAGATTTTGATCTTCTCTTGCAGCACCAGGATGACGTCCGCGCACAGGGGGTCCTCCAGGAGGTGGGCCGGACGCTCCTCGTTGTTGGAAGGGGGGTCCGGGACGATGATGATGGGAGGAGGGGGCTTGGGGGGCAGGAAGGGGGCTTGGAGCAGGGGCCGCTGCACGTTGCGCAGGTGGGACTTCCAGAACTGCAGGTGGCGGCGGGAGATGAGGGCGGCACGGATGGCATTGTCAAAGACGTCCTTGACACCAAACTGGGCCACCACGCTCGTCTCGTAATAAGGGATCCCCAGCTCCTTGGCCACCTCCCTGCCCTTCTCCGGGGGAAGGATCTCGTTAGGTTTAATTGGCCTGAAATAGACAGGAGATAATTAATGAAGAGTGTTGGGGAAGATGAAACAGGAAAGCCTTATCAATATGATTGTCTGGCAAAAGATTTTGAGAATATGGAAACTATAAGCGAGATTGAAATGAAAGCAGCTTTGAGATCCCTCAATTACTGAACAGTGGGAAAACAATGGTGTGGCCAGCTGAAGGTGATCCCCTTTTGATGGAACAACACCCTCTGCCTGCAGACAGCCCCAAGGGTCAGAGCAGATCCTGCCAGCTTGGCAGAAGGGGCCTAAAGAGGAGTTTTTAGGATTTAAAATGTAACACAGTATGGTAATATAATGATTCTTATAGGCTGTATGTAAATGCTGTAGGATTTGTATATTGTATTAGATTGGTTAGTAAGAATGAGAATATTCAACACAGTAGATTTATTGTATTGGAATAGGAACTTTGCTCTCTTACGCTTTTACTCTCTTACCCTTTTATGCTCTTACCCTTTTTACTCTCTTACCCTTTTTACTCCTTTACGCTCTTACCCCTTTTACTCTCTCACCCTCTCATCCTCTCTCCCCCTCTCTTCTCTCAGGCCTGCTCTGAGCTGTGCCTGGCAGCTCCCAGCAGGGCCCTGCCCCCAGGCCCTTTGCAATGAACCCCAAATTCCCCACCTGGCTGCAGAGATCTCTCATCTCCATCCATCCCAACCATCCTACCCCCCGATGCTCTGACAGAAGAGAGCTCTGGAGATAAGGAGGGCAGGCAGGGAGGTCTCTGGGGCACGCGGGTCCCACCTGGCCAGGGGTCGGCGTGCCCGGTTGACGGCCTCCAGGTCGGCGTAGCGCAGGTCGAGCTGGCAGCCCACCAGGATGACGGGGGCGCGGGGGCAGAAGTGTTTGATCTCCGGGTACCACATGGTCTTCACATGGTGCAGGGAGTTGGGGTTGGCGATGGAGAAGCACAAAACCACAACGTCGGACCTGTGAGGGGACAAGGCAGGGGTCAAGGTCCGGTTTGGGGACTCCCTCCCTCCCTGCCCAGGGTAGCGCCGGGCTCTGCCTGTCCCTACCTGCCGTAGGCAAAGCGCCTGTCCTTGTGGTGGTCACCAAAGGTGTCCCAGAGGCGCAAGGACACGCTGACATCATCTACCACATCCCGGGAGCGCTCCAGCACCTGGGGGAACAGAAACCATCCAGCACCTCAGTCCCTGTGCCTCACCAGGACAACAGCAGAGCTGTCCCCACCGCGGGCAGTCAGCCACAGCCCCACCTCCTCGGGATCCCCACGGGGCGTCCATGAGCCCCCCCAGCCTCCTGGGCAGCCCTCACCTCCTGGCAGACGCGGTACTGGTCGATGGCCCACACCGTGGGCACGTGGGTGGCGAGGAGCTGGTACTGGGTCAAGGTGGCGTTGCAGGCACGGGCACAGATGAGCCGGGTCTTGCCCACCGCGTTGTCCCCGACCACGACGCACTTGATGGTTTCTACGTTTGGCCTCTCATAATCCATGTCAGAATCCATTAATTGGGACCTGCGGGGGGAACGAGGGCTCGGCAAACACAGCCAGGACCAGCCAGGGGCTGTCTCCAGGGCAGCACAGGGGCACAAAGCAGGAGGATGCTGACACTCCCTGGCAGCTCGGGGAAGCTCTGCAGCAGCTGCCCAGCCCTTCCCAGCTCGCTGTGCCCGCCAGTCCCCTTTAAAATTTCATGTTCTGGTGGCAGTGTGGCTGCTGTGCCACGTCAGACACATGGCCTGCGTTGGATTGCGCCCTCCTCCCTCCCAGCTCTCAGGCTCATGCCTGTTCATGTGAGATGAGGCTTTTTTTTTCCTCTCCCTTCCTCCTCTTCCTTTTCTCCATCTCCAGCATTTGCAAGAGAAGCTTCCAGAGCCGCCTGACTGAGTGCACACACGGGCACTGCCTGGCTCTGCTGTCTGGCAGGGGACACTGACCTGGCCCCCTTTTCCCATCCCATTCCCAAGGGGACATTTGCTCTCAGCTAAGAGCAGCAAGAAGAAACTCCTGAGGTTTCCCAGAGGCTCAGAAGCCACAGGGATTGGGAGAGCTCCTGGGAGCTCTCCTGAGAGAGATGTCGGTGCTGTGGGTGCTGCAAAGCTGATGAGCAGCACCCAGGTGTGCCCAGGTGTGTCACCCATTCCCTGCTCAAAGCCAGAGCCTAAATCAGCCAGAATTAACTCATCACAGCACGAACACGAGGGTTTATGTGGTTTCCAGGGGGAAAAGCACTGAGGGATTGAGGGATACCAAAAAGGACAATTATGTCATTTCCAGGGGGAAAAGCACTGAGGGATTGAGGGATAGCAAAAAGGACAAAAAACCCCACATCCCAATTTTTCTGAACTTCCCAAGGCCAGGGTTCTCTTCTCCATTGGTATAACAAGAAGGACAAAACCCCTCAGATCCCAATTTCTCTGAACTTCCCAAGGCCAGGGATCTCTTCCCCCTTGGTATAACAAGAAGGACAAAAACCCCCACATCCCAATTTCTCTGAACTTCCCAAGGCCAGGGATCTCTTCCCCCTCTTGCTCCCTCCTGGCAGCGGCCTCCTGAGCTGCTATAATAAACCACCAGCGCAGTGAGCGAAAATACCCGGTAACGATGGCAACCGAGCCCTGCACGTGGGACCACAGCTCCCCAAACCGGCAGCCTGGCAAGGACTTCCCAATGTTAGCGCCTCCCTCCATGCACAGCCTCCCTGGGCACACCTGGGGCCCCGAGGGCAGCTGGAGGCAAAGGCAGGTGGCACAAATCCAGGTCACTTCGGGTGCCAGCGCTTCCACACCGGGCTGGTCCCGAGGCAAAACTTCTCTGAGTGGTTGTCACCGCATTCCAGGCCCCCTCCTCCTTTGGGATGCAGGGAATTCATCCCAAGGGCATCGCAAACCAGGAGCAGCAGCAGGGCAGGTGGGCTCCTTCCCCATTAGCCCTCAAAATCCATTTCCATCCCCCTCTGCTGCCACCCCCTGTCCCCTGCTCCTCCCAGGGATCAGCTGGGCTCTGTAGGACCGGGAGATCTCCCAGGTTGGGGGTTGTGAGTGCTCGGGGAGCTTTGCTGAGGTTATTTTTAGGCCCAGCCGTGCTCCCGAGTCAGCCGAGCTGGTTGGGATGGAGGGGGAAGGCACAGGAATGACAACCGCAGCTGGCACTTGGGATGTTTGTCCCTCGTGGGGAGCTCAGCCCACCCCCAGCCCAGCCAGCTCGGAAAGTCTGGTGCCTCATGGGAATTAAGGGCTAAATCCTTGTGGGATCAGTGCCTGCCGCGAGGAGGGGAAGAGGGGGACAGCAGCAGGGATAAAAAGGGGATCTCAATAAAGCAGAACCTCATTGGGGAGCTCTGCTGGCCCCACAGTGGGGGGGTCACAGCCCCTCACCCACCACACCATCCCAGGAGGGGCTGAACGTTCTCAAGCCCCCTCCTCGCCTTCCCCACCATCACTTTTCTCCTGAGAACAGCTCCAAAATCCACCGCAGAGTAAAAATAACCCCAGATGCCGAGAGGTTGGAGTTCCCCCAACCAGAGGAGCAGGGCTGGAGCCAGCAGCCCCCCACCCAAACCACGGGCACCCAGTTCACACCCACACCCCCCAAGGAGAACCCCAAAATTGCTCCTTCCAGGCTCCCAGCCCGCGGTTGCCAAGGCAACTGCACCATCACCCCGGGAGCCGTCGCTTAGCAACTCCCAGGCTCCAAATCCTCCATCCCGCACCTCGCCAGGGGAGGAGAACCCCTAAACCGGGGCGAAACCGCCCCGAAACGGCGGCGATGCCCAAAAATAACGGGGCGCCCGGGGCAGCCGCGGGGTGCGGGAGGAGCGGGGCCCGGCGGCCCCGCGGAAGCAGCCGGGGCTGTGGAGGCCGCGGCGGGAGGCGGTGCGGGAGGAACGGGGCCCCGAGCGGGGCTGCAGCACGGCCGGGCCGGGGGATGCGGCGGGCACCGGCATCGGGGGCACCGCAAAGGGCACGGGGAGCACCGGGAGAGGGTGCGGGAGTCTGGGGAGGGAGCGGGGAGCAGCCGGATTGGGGGCGCGGGGAATTGCGAGGGGTCTCGGGGGTGCTCGGAGCATCTGCGGGGCATCGCAGAGGGGTCGGGGAACACCGGGAGCGGGTGCGGGCATCGCAAAGGGGCTCGGGAGGATCCGGAGCGGGTGCGGGCATCGCAAGGGGTCTCGGGGGTGTTCCGAGCACCCGAACCGGGGCTGTGGGGCATTGGAAAAGGGACAGGAAGCACCGGGAGAGGGTGCAGGGCATGGCGAGGAGGTCGGGGAGGACCCAGGCCAGGCGTGCGGGGCATCACGAGGAGGTTGGGGGTGCTCGCAGCACCCAGACCGGGGATGCGGGACATGGCAAGGAGACTGGGGAGGACCTAGGCGGGGGATGTGGGGCACCGCAAGGAGGCTCGGGAGAGCTCGGAGCGCCCGATCGGGGCCGCGGGGCACCGCGAGGAGCTTGGGGGTGCTCGGAGCACCTGGGTCGGGGGTGCGGGGCATCGCGAGGCGGACGGGAAGCACCGGGAGGGGGTGCGGGACACGGCGAGGGGACTGGAGAGCACCGGGAGCCGGCGGGGATGGCACGGCGAGAGGAAGCCGAGCCACCCGGATCGGGGCGCGGGTGGGCCGGAGGGGCCGGGCCCTCGCCGTGCCCCGTCCGGGAGCCGGGCCGGGCCGGGCCGGGCAGGATGCGCGGAGGCGGAGCGGGGCGCGGGGCGGAAGCGCGGGGGGTGCCCCGGTACTCACACCAACACAGACGAAGCGGCGGCTCCCAGGGGCCGGGGCCGGGCTCGCCCCTCCGGACATGGCCACGGCGCGGCTGGCGCGGCTGGGCTGGGCACGGCTGCGCGGCTCAGGGCCGGGCCCGCGGGGGCCCATGGCGGCGCCTCGGCCGCCCCGATCTCCGCATCCGCGGCCCGCTGCGCTGCGCGGAGCCCTGCGCGGATCGCGGCCCTGCGCGCACCGCCCTGCGCGCTGCAGTCGCGCCCGCCCCGCCTTTCATTCACAAAAAACAAGCGGCCCCGGCCGGGCCCCGCCCCGAGCCCCCCCCGCGGCCGCGCATTGGCTCGGAGAGACACGGGGGGGGTCCCGGGGGGGGTACGGGCCCGTCCTGCCGCGCATGGGGACCCTCGGCACGGCCCTTGCAGGAGGCTCCGTTGTGGCCCCCACTCCTGCCCTGGGATCCCCATCCTGCCCCTAAGTGCTGCCCCTGCTTTGTCACGTCCCCCTAAATCCGCCTTGAGACCCCGTAATGTCCTCTCACCCTCCCTTGCAGGGGGGTCTGTCAATTCTGCCTTCGGACCCCCCCGTGTCCATCGTGTCCCTAATTCTCCCTCCCAGGGGACTCCTCTGTGCCCCCCAATCCTGCCTTCCATGCAAACCCATCCTGCCCCTAAACCTCCCTGTCAGGGGGCTCTGTTGTGGCCCCAATTCTGCCTTGGGACCCCCATCCTGGCCCTAAAATCCTCCCATCCTGGCCCCCAATCCTGCACTCCAGGGATCCCTATGCCCCCTCTGCATGAGACCCCCACCCTGCCCTCCATCCTCTGTGACATCCATAGGGGGGGATGACACCCCCACCCCCCCTATATGTCACCTCCATCTTTCTTCTGCATCCGATTCCCCCCCTCCCCGTGCCCCCCAATCCTGATCTCTCTGAGACCTTTCCCTGTCCCCAAATTTCGGGAGGTGCCAGCTGCCAGCTGGGCCATGTGTGGTGCTGGGGGTGGAGGAGACCCCTCAAAAGCCCCACAGCCCCCCCGGAGCACCCCCAAACCCTCGCAGGGCTTCTCGCAGGGGGGGAGGGCGAAGCTGCTCCATCCCTCCGTGCCCTGCGAGCACAGGCCACACGCTGCAGTCCTGCCTTTTTCCCCTTCTCCACGGGGTTTATTGCAGCCCCTCCTCACCCCCAGGGCATCTCCCCGAAATCTGAACCCTCGGGGCACCAAAAAACCTCCGAGTCATCTTTGCAGCGCGGCTGCCGGGAAGGCGGCGGGCACCGCTCTGACCCCGCATATCCGCATCATGTGATCCTCGCCATCCCTGGCCGAGCCTTGCAGCCGCCTCTCCCTGCCCATCCCCGCCGCCGAGCCGCGCTAGGCTCGGCCCCCTGCCTGCCCTGATCCCTGCGCTCGGATCAGGCCCCGGCACTGATGCGGCGCCGCAGCGAACGGCGCAGAGCGCAGCGCTCGCCCGGCCCGGCCCGGCCCGGCACGGCCCCCCCAGCCCGGCGCCAGCCTCACCGAACTCGCAGCACGGGGATCTGTCTCTCCATAGCAGAAGGAGATGGAGCCGCTAATGTGGGGAGGGGAAAGCCCTTTTTGGGTTTGGAGGCGGCAGCGGCAGCTCCCGGGATTGCTGTGGAATCGCTGGCCCGGGAGCTGCGAGCAGCCGAGCCGCAGAGCCTGGAGCTTTCTGCTTCTTGGAGTGGGTCACGGGGAAGGAACACGTAAAGCTTGTTTGCCAGCCGCATGATTTGGCTTATTTGCTCTCTTGTAGCAGGTGCTTAATTGTGGAAGAAAGGGTTCCCGGCAGCTTTCTGGGCAGCCAAATTCCCGCCTGCCCCTCTCGCAGCCAGGCAAAACAAAAGCACGATTGTCACCCGCAGGCGGAACGCGCCGGCTGCGGAGCTCGCACGGGCCTCCCTGCCGGCAGAAAAGGTTCCCGAGGCACCGAGGAGGGCACGGGCCAGGGAAAGGGGTCGGGAGCAGCTGTGGAAAGCGTGGGTGCTGCTCACAGCCCCTCTCCTCCCAGGGAGGAGGATAACAAGTCTCAGCTGACTGTTCCCCAGCGAGCCCGTGCTGTGGCTTGGCATGGCATGGAATGGCATGGAATGGCACAGGGTGGCACAGCACAGCTGCCCATGGCATGGCACAGCTGCCCAGTGCCATCCCCCTCCCGCAGTGATCCCCACCAGGGCTGTGGTTAAAAGGCCTTTGCTTCCCACTCCCATCTCTCCAATTTAAGCCCCTTGAACCTGTCCCCAAGGAATTTCATCAGTCCAGCTCCATGATCCTGACTCCACAGCCAAGGCTGAGCCCTGGGGGTCACACCAAACCTCCTTTTTACCCCACAGCATCCTCCCTCCTCCTCCTCCCCAGCCAGGAATGAAGAAGCCCTCAGGATATCCAAGATATGAGTGGACATTGCTCCAGCCCCAGTAAAATTTATGACGCTCCAGTTTAAAGCCAGGGGCATTTCCACCCCTCCCAGGTGCTGCCAGGACCCTGCCCAGCCTGGCTGGGGACAGGATTCAGCAATGCCAGGACCCTGCCCTGCCAGGACCTTGCCCAGCCTGGCTGGGGACAGGATTCAGCAATCCAAACCCAAACCCAATTTTCCTTATGCTCCTTGGATGCTCTGCAACCACTGCAGCTTTCCTGGCTCTGCCCCCCACCCTGCCCCCCAAATCCAGCATCATTCACCTTGCAAGGGGCTAAAAGGCTGGCACAGACCAAGGCAATGCATCCCTCACTGGACAAAGCGGATTTAGGACAGGGAGACACCCCAAAAACCCCGGACCACACATTCCCAAAGCCCCCAGCACCAGGACCCCGCCTTTGCCTTTTCTCTGCTGTCTCCACCTCATCCACGGGGAACGGAGGCGTTGCTGTGGCGTGGGTGGGATGGGAGCAAAGAGCAAAGTCCCTGGAGAAAGTGACCGGAGGAGAAGTGCCAGGAGCAGGGGCGGGAGGAGGCAGCAGCAGGTACTTACAGGCTGTGAGCCATGGCTGTCATCTTCCCAGCAGGGCTGCCCTTCCCCGGGCTTTCCATCGCTTTCTCTTGGCAGGCTCTGCAAGGAGAGGGCACAGGGATCTGTGGGACCACCCCAAACACAGACTCACATCCTAAAGCCACCCCCTGCCCACTCGGTGTCACCTCCCCAGCCTGGAGACAGAAAGGTTTTGGGAAGGCGAGGTCTGGGCTGGTGTGGGGACTGAGCTGTCCCTCGTCTCCCCATTGTCCCCATGTCTTGGTGCCAGCTCTGCCCTCCTCCTGCCACCCTACAAATCAGCCAGAACATGGAACATACACAGACCTGTCCCCTGCTCTGGAAGTTCCACAGGGACAACCTCCCCTCAGCCCCAGCGGGGCTCTCCCAGCTCCCACCCCCTGTCCAGGCACCTCACCCTTGGCCTAAGAGCCTTCCCTGTGGATCTGAGCTCCCTGGGCAGTGCCTGGCTCCTGGGGTGGCCAGCAGGCCACCGAGTCCCCTGGCATGGTGGCTTTGGCCAAGGCTCTGGAGCGAGGCAGGGCAAGGGGCTGTCCCTCCTTCCCCGTCACTGCATCCTGCACACGTCAGGAGCAGAGTCCAGCCGGGGATTTGAGTGCTGGCTCCTGGCAGGGAGTGGGCTCCAGGCACCCACCACGGTGCTGGATCCATCCATGGATTCACCAGGAGGAGCAGCAAGGGTCACCCCTCTGTTTTGCTTCTCCAAAATCCCAAATGCTGCAGTTTTGCTGCCTGGATGACGCTACAAGGAGCCTCCTTGCTCAGGACAGCTGCTCCAAGCACCCCATGGCGCCCCCAGGCCCATCAGCAGCCAGGGAGGGAGGGGCAGCTCCAAAAAAATGGCATTTACAGGCTCAGTATCCGACTGGAGCCAGGAGAAATCTTCAACCAGAACTTTGCAAAGATGGCAGAACCCAACCTTGGTGGGGGAACAGTGGGGACAAAAGGACACATTGGGATGTGCCACCACACTGGTGGGGAGCAGAGCCTGGGAAACAGCTGATACCAGAAGGAAGGGTCTAAAACAAGCAAAAAAGAACATTTTTGCACCTTCCATCCCTGCCCTGCCAAAGCAGCAGGGGCTGTCTGAGAGCCGGGAGTTTGGGGGGCTCTGGAAATTCCCTGCATGCAGGAATTCTCTGCCCCAGCTGGATCCCATCTCCCAGCCCTGGAATCAGGCACCTGACACGGCCAGGGTGGCAGCTCTCCCTGCCATCCATAGGGCTGCAGAGCTCCAGGGAGGCATCACTCAGCTTATAAATATTTAAACCCAGAAGGAGCCGTGTACTCCTGTAAAACGCAACTCCTTGCACAAGCCCAGATCCCTTCGCCCCAGCGCTGAGCTAATCAACATTTGGGGCTCTCCAGACGGATCTTTTGCAGCTAAAAACCAGGTCAGGGCGAAACTCAAGGTCTTGTTCCATCCGTGCAGGATTTCTGCACCCTCCAGCTGGGATGTGTTGCATTTACCACCCCAGGGGTGCAGAAAGAGCTGCTGGGGTGGAATCACAGCCGAGGTTGCGCTTCCAGCTGTTTGTTCCCGACACTCCAGGCAGGTTTTGGGGGGCACAGCCGGCCCCACGCTCTGGGAGAGGCTGCAGCTGCAGCCTGGAGCACTGACAGGCTGCTCCAGGCAGGATTCACAGTTTCATACAGCATTAAGAGCTGCTGACGCCTCGTGAAAAAACTGTGAAAAGCTTCTATTTTGGGGAAAGTTCCTCTTATAACGGTGCATCCTGTGGCTTCTCTGTTTCCCTTTTTCTCCTGGTTTCTCTTGCTACGGAGAGCAGAGCAGAAAATAGGAGGATAATGTTGCCAACCGGCCTGGGCTCTTCGTCAGAAAAGGAAAATAACCCTCCAAGCCACCCCCAGCCAAGGAATTCATTCTCATGCCGCACCTGGGTGGGGACCTGGGGCAAGAAGGGAGAAAATGGGACCCTCCTGGGACTTGTTTTTGGGCACAGAGCATGACAGGGCTTGGTGGGGGTTGGATATTTCCTGATTGGGGGAAAGTGCTGGTTTTGCTTGGTTTAGACCTTTCCCTCTGGTGTCAGATCTTTC